GCAATGATTTGCCGCCAATGAATACCGCCGAATCTGTCGATTCATCTTGTAGTGGTGCGTCAAATGCAACGTAGATTCCCATCCAATTAGATTGAATTTGGTATTGATGACGGGAAAAATAATAACGGTAACTCCATTGAAATGATTCAAAACTAAAGTAACGAGCCAATTTTTTAAAATGTAAGGAGTAGAAAGTACAGATATTTGTGTAAAAATGTAAGGAGTAGAAGTAAAAAGTCGCCATAAAAATAAGTAGTAAAGTAAAAATATCAGAAAAATCTACTTGAGTACAGTAACGAAGTATTTGTACTTCATTACTTCCCATCTCTGATGCTATGAACCAGTGTCAAAGTGATGAATTTATCTTTATAAATTACATTGTGATCGCTCTAACTAGGGAGTACCAATATGGCGACTGGTCCTACCAACTGCAGCAATCCAGTGGATAAATTGAGATCAGTGGCCGGGAGCCTGAAGGAGATGTTAGGAAAAGTAACTATCCTCAAGTGAGCCCCGTTCATTGCTTATGTCATATTTTTATCTCCGTTTTATGAACCCGGATTAAACTTAGTTTAGTTTGTAACAAACTTCGCTTTATGAATAAAGTGTGATTGATCCAAACAGGGATCATGACATCAGTGGTTGGGCTCCAGCCCCTCCCCCAGCCGGTTCTCTAGGTTTCAACACTTTCCCAACTGTTTCAGGGATTGAGTGACATTCCTCCCTGGGGGGGGGCGGGGGCAGCCCTTGAATGAGGAAACAAACTCTGTGAACTCAGCTGTTGATCCCGGCTTCATAAACTGAAACAGGAGGTGATTTATTTATTAACTTAACTTAGATCATCCATGTTCTATAGAAAAAGGAAAGGATTCACCGAGCAGGACAGGAGGAAGCTGTAGAGTCCAGTTCAGGTTCGCTCAGAGCTAAAGCACCTGTTTTTAACCCTTTAAAGGGCACTCAGTGAAATCCCTTGAAAATCCAACTTTCCAGCCAATAGTGTTACTGGAATCCAGGACCAGACCTTATTTCCTTTGTAACTTGACTCCATTTGTAAGGAGAATGCAAGTAAAAAAAACGGTAACTTGCTCTATAAAGGGTTAAATCAGGTCCGGTTGATTTTAAGCTCAACAGATTAAACTGAATCCGGTCGGATCAAACGCAGCGAGTCTCGGTCCACCTGATGCTGACTGTCACAGTCTGAGGATTAGAAACCAGCGGATGGACCATGCAGGCAGAACTGGTGGAACATTTCAGCCGCTCACATCTAAACTGGTCCACCTATTAGCATTGTGAGGGTGAGGCTTGTTAAAGGAAAAGTTATATTCAGAATTCAAAGTACTTTAAATCTGAAATGATTCCATCCTGTTCAATAAATGATCAGTGTTTTTAATTCAGAGTAATTTTCATGTGAATGTGCTTTACTGGAGGCATCCATGTTTGTCAAAGAACACTACTGCCACCTACTGGTTAGTGACGTCACGGTGCGGTATCGGCTGTTGATCAAGTCCCAGTGCTGTATCTGGTGTTTGTCACAACGCGCTATTATCCAAGACATCTTGAAAACATTCTTCTTCCAAATGTTGGCTACATATTACGGGTTTTTTCTCTGGCCAGAAGTTCGATGGCAAATCCTCCCTCTTCACACTTGAAAAACAATCTAGAAATAAGTAAAGAAATTCTTAAATCATGTGTATTTACCCTTAATTTGAGTCGGTAAGTGAGATAGTTTGCAAATGGAAAGAGTATTTTTACTCTTAAAATAAGATAATTAGATAAAATGCACTTAAAATAAGACAATGCAATTGTGTTTTATCTTAAATGTAAATTGTCTTGTTCCATTGGCAAAAGGTATTTTTTACCTCCTCAATCTAAGAAGAAATGCACTTATTTTGAAAAAAATGACTTATCTAGACTCCAACGACCAACCCGTCCGTGGAGGATCAGGAATCAGAAAGGTGGAATAACTCTTTTTTTTCTCTTTTACCCGATGTATTCCAGCATCCAGCTGCCATGCACGTGGGCATTGTCAGTTTCACTATAGCTCTGGTGAATTTCAATGGTGAAGTCCTCTGGAAATCTTCAATAATTGTTGTTGATTGCAGATGTGTCTAGTAGTTCCCATTGATTTAGCTTGGAAAGCGGGGAGAATGGCGCTAGGCTTACCGCACCGTGACATCACTGCTGGAAGATGGCAGGAGGGAGGGGCTACTATATTTGGGCAAAAATGGCTGCTCCCAGACTCAGTGATCGTGACGAAAAATATTGTTTTTGTTATTTTTTCACTGGTTAATGCTAAATTCATTAAATCACCGCAAACGTATTAGTTTGATCATTCCTTGCTGACCGGACTACTCCTTAAAATTTATTGATCAAGTAAATATTTTTATAGGTTCTACTGGACCTGTGCTCTGCAGAACAGATCCAAAAATGACCAGAATCACATTTTGCAAATGTTTAGTGTCTCATGAAAACCAGAACTCAACAGAACCTGAAGTCTCTTTAAAAAAAGTCAAAACTCTACATTTGTTTCCTCATGCAATAATCCACCGGGTCCAATAGAACCAGTTCTAATATATATATATCAGTTCTATCTTCTGCTTCTGTCTCCTTGAACCCCAGTTGGCCTCAGCAGATGACCGCTCACACTGAGCCTGGTTCTGCTGGAGTTTTCTTCCTGTTAAAGGGAGTTTTTCCTCTCCACTGTCGCTACAAGCATGCTTAGTGTGAGAGATTGCTGAAGAGTCAATGAGTCGATGCAATCAGCTGGTTTTCCTTTGATGGAAAACTTGGTGAATTGTAAAGTGACCTGAGATGACTTATGTTGTGAATTGGTGCTATAGAAATAAACTGATTTGAAATTATGTGAGATGCAGTGGCGGCCGGCCCATAGGGGGCGCTGGGGCACCGCCCTCCCTGATAAGAAGAGAGAAACGTAAAATATATTTTTAGAAATTAACTCATAAATGTCAGTTTTACTCTCTAGACTGTGTACCTATAAGCAAAACAAATTATATAAACTACATTTCCCTATCTACTGTCATTAATTTGTGGATTTCCACAGACAGACTCCTACCGTCTCTGTTCTGGGGGCGCTGATCAGACTGACCCACATTTGCAGAGAATCTGTCAATCATGTACTATTGCTAGGTGAATTTAATGGCCAATCAGCGTCTCGGAACTTTATGGTATTGGGGCGCTGAAAATACTGCGCTTTAACAGGCTTCTGAACCCAAGCGCAGGTGCAGACAATTAGAGGGAAGATGGCGAATGTAACGAGCGAGATGCAGCTTCCACCAAATTCGGTGAGATCCTTATTTATCTACCCGTTTGCCAGAAGAACATCCCTGTTGTATGATATGAACATTTCATGTCATGGTTATTGTGACTGTGACGAATCCACCTCGTCGCTTAAAACAACCTCTCTAACTTTGCGCGCCACACACACATTCCTGTTATACTGTGTTTGTGAGGACCAATACACTCGCGCTGAGACCAGTAGCTCCATGAACTTAAAACACACAAGCTGTTCCTGGTTACCTGCTGGCATATTGAGGGTGCACACTTAATATTTCAGTGGGGTTAGCCGTGTGTGTGTGTGGGGGGGGGTGTACGTGTTTATGCTACGGGGACTTGTCATCTTCAGTCTGGCTGCGTCTTTGCTGGGTTCAAACCCACTTTGGTGTAATTGAATAAGTCAATGAATCTGTGTAAAAGAATTAAGTTGTAAAAATGATTTGTTTTTGTACATCAATTGTTTGTGGAGGTAATATATGGACAAAACTGATTAATGAGAAGAAATCAGAAATAAGAGAGCCTGATGTGAGGGGCTTAAACTATTTAATGAGGGCTGTGGGAAGAAAAGCGGCAATTTTTGTTTTCTGTTTCTTTGTTACATTGCTGGTAACTGGAGGGAGGCTGAGGCCCAGAGTATCTTGTATATGTTTAGTTTCTTTTGCACCCTGTTTTGAGTTTTTGAGCTCAATAAATCACCAACACCGGTAACCCGACTGAGACTGGATTCTTGGAGGCCAAAGAACCCCGTCACAGTGACCCAAATCATCACTGTTACTGTTATTATATAGTAAATTAAATCATTACTGTTAAATTGTATGTATTGTCCAATTGTTTATTTGAATTCTTATTCCGGATTAGTTGGAGACATACACTAGGCTATATCAGCCCCACCAAAAATATTTTTCACCAGCCGCCACTGGTGAGATGAAGTCTGATGATGATGGTGAAAACTATGGAGGTGGAAAACCAGTTCAGTCCTGGTTCTGGTGTTTCAGGAAGGGGACATGCCAGTTTATTTCACTTTGCTGCTACGGGAATCCACTAACACACGCTGAGAGGAAAACAAGAGTGGAGGCTTCTGATTGGCTGCGGGAGACCCACATGGTGCCGATAGTAGCTCCTTATATGGTGAGGAGGGCTGAGGGATCAACGGGTTCAGCCAGACAGGCTGGTTCTGAGAAACCCTGAACAACATGTTCTCACACACACACACACAGGCTCCACACGTCCACCCGGCCTGAAGAGACCCGGTACAGAACCTGGTTCTGGACCCAAACCATCAGACCAAGTGTGCTGCTGGCAGAACCTCTTTGATCTCCTTTAATAAAAGCTGTTTGATCCTAAAGTTAAAAAAAGCTCATGAATTTGGGTCAGAACCGATGAAGGGATTCAAGGGTTTGGGTCAGACTGGTTCTGATGGTTCATGTTTAAATGTTCTGATGAGGTTCGGTTGTTTTAGATGATTCTAGCAGCAGCAGACTGCAGTTATGTAATGTTGGTTTAGATGGACCGAACCATCTGAGGTTGAGCAGAGGGGTGAAGGCCCGGTTCTGCGTGGGGGTTCGGTTCTGGTGGATTAATGTAGATGAAGCGTAGACCGCGCTCCGGACCACACACCCCCTCCAGAAAAAGCCCACCGCTGAGCCTACAGCGCCTTGCAGGGTTCCCCTCCCCCCCCCTGCAGTAGATGGTACGGTCCGGACGCGTCATCCATTGTTTACAAATCAAACGGCTTGTTTGTGTGCGGTGAGCGGAGCAGAGCTGCCCGGTTCCGTCCGGTTCGACTCGAGCCAAAGAGAGATGCCGTGTTTGAAGGAGAACTACCTCGTGCTGCAGCAGTCCGTGACCGTGGACCCCGCGGAGGTGGACGCGCTGGTCACGAAGATCGGAGAGACGCTCCAGCTCCACGGAGCGCCGGGGGGCCACCAGAGGAGCGGCCCCGGGCCCTGCGGGGCGCCGGTGGTCCCGTACCTGAAGCAGAATCCCCAGAGCTGCTGCCTAAAGATCCGGACCCAGCGGGGGAACCACCGGACTCGCAGCCCCTACCAGCTACCGAGCCACGCGGGGCAGAACTGGGATCAGATCGGTCCGTGGAACAGGAAACGGATCCCGGTTCGGGTCCAGGAGGAAGACCCGCACCGGCTGCTCCAGGAACTCATTCTGTCCGGAAATCTGATCAAGGAAGCGGTTCGGAGGCTGCAGTTCTCCCCGGACTGCAGAGACCTGCCGCGGGTTCCGGACAGCCTGCCCTGCGCCTGACGGACCGAACCGAACCCTGACAATCAGACCGGACCTACTGGGACCTTCGGTTCTGTTTGGATCATTGAACACGTGCCTGTGCTGATGATGGAGGGTACGTGCTGGACGGGGGGAACATGGGTGGGGGCGGGGGGGGTCACTGTGCACGCGCAGCAGACACGTGCACGGAGAAGACTTGAACAATCACATCCGGTTATTTACTGAGGGCGGGGTTTGTGATTCCCCACCCGGACCTGGTGATGACGTCACTGGTAGTATACAAATCTGCCGACGTCAGAGACTATTTTTTGGGACTTCCTGTTTGTGTGTGCAGAAGAATCACGTGACTGCTCCGTAGCGGAGCGCCTTCAGATTCCTGACTCATCAGGACTTTTATTGTCTTAATAATAAACTTTTCCTGTTTTCCAAGCTGAAGTCCAGCTTCCTTTGTTTTCACCTTAGTTTGAGTTTATTCCCATTCATTTTAAACACTGTTTAACTTTTTTTATTTTATTTATTTTCACAAATCAAAGTAGAAACTCAGAATAAATCAATAAAATAAGAAGTGTGATGGAGTGTGACAGAAACCATGGGGCTTCACTCCAGAGAGAAAACAAAGTACCATAAGATTATTTTTACATTTTAGCTTTTAGATTTAAAGGAATCAATATTTTTACAATCCTACATCACTGTTTTTGGACTTTCTACCATTTATCTCTGAGGATTCCAAATATTTTCTATATTCATTCCATAGTTTTGCACCACGATGCCAAAAAGAAAATTTGTATTTGAGTTTTAATGTTTAATGGGAAATAAAAAGACAAGCTTGTCTAATATTATAAGAATGGACTCAGCAGTTCCTAAAATAATTCTTGAAGCTATCAGGAGACTGACCTTCTTTTATCACAGAAACAAAGATGTAATCTGGAGAAAAGGGGAGCAGCAGCTGAATCAACTTTAGAAAATGTTGCTAAGCAAAACAAAAGTTTTTTTTTTTTTTTTTTTTTAAGATAACTAAGAAATGTACGTGTCCAAACAATATTGCAGTATGACCGGTATGGATAGATTCATGAATAATAACTTCCAACATCCACCCCCACCTAACCACTGCTGTCAGGGTTTACTGAATTAAAAGTACAAATACCTGCGTCTGAAACAAGTACCAACATGTACTCCTTTACTCAAGGGTAGAGAATAGGTTTCTACATTGTGCTTCAATTTTGTCCTTAAATGATTTTAAGGACAAACTATTGCAATAGTTTTCACTTTTACCGTAACTTCTCACAGACTATATTAGAATGACGGCATTTGATCATATTAAAGTCACCTCTGCCTCCTACACACCTGTACTTTGGCAAAATTTAGAAGTTGGTTCCAAAGCCAATAATGTCTGATTTCCAATTCTGTCTATTTAACAAATAAACGTTAATTATTTTAAATTGGGCCAACCTATCAGACACTTTTTCAAATTATTTTCTTATATATATAACCAAATCGTGTGTTTCAAAACTAATTATATTGCATTATAATTACATACCATCATATAAATGGAGCATAAAGTGATTTAGTTATCTAAGAATATTATGGGGATAAACCTGAGAAAAGATTAAAAAATGTAGATCTGGAGACTAGAACTGTTGGTGGTGAATTAAACAATATACCAGAAACAGATTTATAAGTCTGTTTTCTTTCATTATCTTATGGCGAAGTACAAGAAAGGGAGGATAAAGGATATCCTGTAAGTTTGGTAAACCTCTAAAGACCAGTTTGGTGTTAAATAACTAAAGATATTAGGAAAGGATTCTATACTGGGTTTCATATATTTGTCCTAAAAAAAAACACCTGAGTAATGAGATCAGACACAAAGAACAGAAAATTAATAATAAATTGCGCAGAAGTGTCCCCGTTTCATTTTCTATTCAGTTTATTTCTATAGTGACTATCCATAACACGTCATCTTAAGGATCCTTCAGGAGAAAATAGAGTCGGATCATCCAGTCAGTCTGGTTCAGGGTTTCTATGAAGGAAACCGGCTGATTGCATCGACTCTGGTTGCAGGAAGCGCTCCTCCTGGTTGAGCTTAAGGGAAACTGTTTGCGTGCATTTTGTCATCCACTCTTCAGCAATCCCTCATACCAAGCATGGATGCAGTGACAGTGGAGAGGAAAACTCTCTTTTAACAGGAAAAACCTCCAGCAGAACCAGGCTCAGTGTGAGGTGTTTGTTCCAACAAAAACCAACAAAAAAAAACTCTAGAGAACTCTAGTTCCAACATTTTCTTTTTTAAGCGGTCAATTATTTCATGGTTTAGGCTTTACAGGGTTAAAGAACATAAATGCAACCTTTAAAATCCTCAGCCATTTTAACTCGAACCCACCAAAATAAAAGTCCCTTAGAGCTGCAAATCACACAATAAATGACTCAAAAGTGGAAACATGGATTTCTTCTATGGGGTATTTTATGTCAAAAGTAATTACATAGTAATTAAGCATATTACAGTAAGAATAGAACAAAACATTTATTGTTCTGTAACTATATGCTGGTGTAAAAATTCAATTCCAACGTTTAAAAAAAAAAGCTGCTACAGGTTCTAAGAATGGAAACTTTTAATGTAATATATTAATTAACCTCTTTTTATCCACCATTAAGAGTCTTTTTAAGGGGCCCTGAGAGCCGCAGGTTAAAGACCCCTGATCTAACGGGGGCAACAGTGATGCAACCTAGCAACTCTTCCCGCTCAGCTTTGCTAATTTAGCTAACTTCACTAATGTTACAAATGTGTCTAATATTGCTAATGTTTTTGGTACTAACCGATCCTGCAACAGTGGCCCGGAGTGGTAAAATAACACAGAAGACTGAATCTGGTATGAATTTTACTTTATTTGAATGTCACAAACAAAACTTTAACAAAACAAAATTAAAAAAAAAAATGTTGTCTTACAAAATTAGAGACTTTTTCTCAAACGTTTTCTCCACCGACATCTCAAAACCTCTTGAAAAGGCTGTTTCTGTTAAAAAAATACTATATATATATATATATATATATATATATATATATATATATATATATATATATATATATATATATATATATATAATATCTGTGTATACCTGGATAGATGTTTTAGGGTATTTGTAAAATTGTAATAATTTAGTAATAATAAAACATAAAAAATTATGAGTGGCTGTGCTTTCCAACATGCATCCATCATATCAGAATACTTTATTACTCTTAACCCCACTAAGAATATTTAAATGCACTGAAACATTTGTTTGTTTTCAGCAAAAGAAAAGACAAAACCTTGAAAGTGAGTTCAAAATTTAGCGAGTAAAAGTTGATTAAAATCGAGTCTGTGCCTGTGGACTGAGCGGAGCTGTCGACCGCCCCAAGATGGCGCCACTAAATCACGTCAGCGCCCATAGATATTGTTCTAAAACACAGTTAGTAGGGCTGTGTGTCATAAACAGTATATAACAGCTGAAATAAAAATAAAAGACAATTTTCAGAGTAATAAAAAATACGTATCAGTAAAATTAATTATAAAGTTAGAGTAGATAAATGTTGTAAACATTTTGATGCTGATTTACCCTTTAATACAGAAATACAGATTATATAATTTTTTAAGTCAATTTTAAAAACACTGAAAAGAGGTTTGTTCTTCATAAATTTTGACTTATGGTTGAAGAATTTACCAAGTAAAATACATAGATTGAATATATATTGTATAGAAGGGTTTGAGTCAGAAAAATAAAAGAAAATGTGAAAACTGGATAAAGTATGTTTGAGCCAAAGTCATAGATATCCATAATAAAGGCTAGATGTCTCGTCCGCGCTGCTGGCCAATGGGGGTCGACGTCCGCACGTGGCGGCCATCTTGCTACAGGCAGCTCGCTCATTCGTAACATTGTGTTTTAAAGGCGCATGTTCTTAAATAACCATAACTTCCTGAATTGTCTAATTGTTTGGTTTGTTAAACAAAAGTCAGAAATGTAGTTATGATACTGCACACTTATGAATAATTATAACCATGGTATTTCATATGAAAAGAACATTGAATAGAACATACAGGTGCAATAAATATACACATGCACAAGGTATTTATGTTAAATCAATATATGCTAATAAAACTCCGTGTACTGAATGGCAACATAATATATAGATATATCTATAGATATATAGATATCTATATAGATATAGATACCTATATATATATATAAATATATATATATATATATATATATATATATATATATATATATATATATATATATATATACATATATATAAATAAATATGTATATATATATAAATATGTATATATACATATTTATATATATATATATATTTTAATATGTGTATATATATATATATATATATAAAAATATGTATGTATATATAAATATATATATATATAAATAAACACTTTTATTTGGGGTGATTAATTATTTCACAGTCCTAATTTATTTATATTTACATACATACTTTTATAATATGAATATTATTGTTATAATAAAATATGGAATACTGACAGAAAAGATTTATTGTGTGGCAACCTCTTGGTGTAGCAGCATAATCCAGGTTTCAAATTAAAGGTAACACTTTGAGGTTTCATGTAGACTATTCGGATTATATATCAGGGGTAATTACACAAAAGTTCGTATTTTTAAACCATTATAAAAGTGACATTTATTTGCTATTAAAATTGGTACAATAGTCCCCTTCACAAGTATATATAGATGTAGCATGTTGAAATCCCCAACTACACTACTGTGATGGTATACACATGGAAGACAGAGATTTAAAAAATGACCCAAAAAACATAGCTTGGCTAATGCCCTTTGAAAAGGAAGGTTTTATTGAGCTTCTGTATAATGTACAAGAGAGCGTTGTCCACAAGGCCATCAAAGCGGACAGGAAGGTAGCTGTGGTCATTTACTAGCGCAGGAATGTCAGCAAACTGGGATGGAAGATCTTCTCCTCCTGCTTACACATTATATAACCTGCAGAAACAAAAACAAAAGTGACCAACAACAATTCACAGTGTATAAGATTGGTATATCAATATGTGATTAAATTTCAATGATACACATGCCCTTTGAAGATGAGCTGGAAAGTTGAAAATGTTTGGCACAACACCATCGTTAAGTTGTCCAAATGAAACTAATACAAACTTATAAAAGCTTTGAGTCAACAACAGTCTTGTAATACTATTATGTCATAGCAAAAGTCTGGCATCTTCCTTTTAATAAACCCAGCAAATTCCTGTAACATAATGTAAGATGTGTTGACAGACCAAATCGATTGGAAATCATGTTCAATTCTGCCTCTTCCACTGATGTAAAGTTGCTGGTTAACGTTAGCAGCTAGCTAAACTGTAACATTAGCTGCTAACTTACTAACGTTAGGTCTCACTTTGCAGCTTCTTGTTATTAGCCAGCTAACGTTAGGCTAATAATGAAAATACAACAACACTCATATTATTGTTATTAGCCAACTAATAACTACAACCACATCCACAAAGATTGTAATTTACACCAAAGATTAATTGTCAGACAATCATTATTGATGTCAGTAAAACCTATATAATTGACTAATAGTCTCAGCCTTGATAACTTGCGCAAGTAGCCGTGATGCACAACTATGCTGCGCGATTAAGTCATTTTTCGACAAGAAAATCTGCAATTTCGACATGTTCAAGCATCTAGAATTATAGCCACGTTCACAATGTTTGTAAGAAACCAAACTGTTTGTAAATCCGTCAAGAATTCAGTGAGATAAGAGTATTTGTGTTCGTGCTGATCACTCACCTTACATTAGGTACCACAGAGCGCAACAGAAAGCCTGCCTGAGGTAAGATGGCCGCCGGTGATGACGTTTGAGACTCCCCCGTAAGACATCTAGCCTTTATTATGGATATCTATGGCCAAAGTGACCATTGTCGATGGTTTCTCCATTATAAATGAGTGTGTGGAGTTTTTTGCTCGCTTCTTCTCCAGTTGGTTAAAGCATTACTGCCCCCTTGCGGTAGAAGTAAAACCTTCCTCTTTTATTTACTCCAGCTGTTTTATTCTCAGCTTGTTTTCATTAGAAACAACCTGGGGAAGAAACTTTATGTGTTTTATGTGTTTAAGGGAACTTTCTGCACTGAGCTCTAAGGTTTACACCACCTTCATCTCTCCGGTTCTCAGACCCCCCGGTGCCTCATGGGAAATGTAGTTCTCCCGCTTTGAACCCTCCTTCATGGTCCGATCTGGATCTGACGATGGTCACGTGGTACCCCTTAAAGCGCCCCTCTGAGAACAACCGGTCCCGGTTCATTCAGGAGCTCGTGCTCTACTATTGGAGCTCAGTGAATTACGGTAGCAGGTTCGGAGGATTCAACAGAACCTTTGGGTCAGTGACTCATTTCTCCTGGCAGATGGAGGACCGAACCGGACCCGAACTGGTTTTGGTCTTCAGCGGGAAACGGAAGTCCGGGAAAGATTACATAACGGATCTGATCCAGGATCGGTAAGGTTCGGTCCCGTTAAGACCACGTGATAGCGATGTTTACTTTGCCCGGGTCACGTGATTTGCACTTTCTCATATACAAATCTTTTAGCACTAGAGATCCTGAATCAGTCCGACCCAGAAGGAGTCAAAGTGAAGCTGGTTCCGAATCAGTTCGGTTCTAGACTGATCCGGTCAGCTTATATAAAAGATAAAGTTTTGTTCTGCGTCTCCGGGTCAGATCATCTACTTAGAACCTCAGATCAAATGGATCCAACCAGAATAAGAAACTTCAGACTCCTGGACTGGTTCTGATTACAGTTCTGTCAGCATCCCTTCCGCAGTTACCATGGCAACGGCTATAACTATTAAACTAATGTATGCTAGTAAAGATGTCAGCTTTATTTTGAAAGCCCAGGTTTGATGCCGGAGTTCTGAGGGATTGAGGGGAACCGAGCACAGTTACCTGAAGGGCCTCATAATACTGTATGGTTTATACAACTATTCCTTATTTGTGCACATTAATTATGTTTTTCATAAAATCCTTTTACTAAAATGCCATCAGAACGCTGATAATATTAAGTGTGTCTCAGCCCCCCCCTTCAGTGTCCACCATATTGGATCAGTCCATTTGCTGCACATGTTCAGAAAGGTCCAAACAGACAGCAGCAAACCATTTGAAAACAAACCATGCAAAGAGCAGTGTTGCCAACTTAGCGCTTTAGTCGCTATATTTAGCCACTTTTCAGACCCCTCTAGCACTTTGATTTCTAAAAAGCTCCTAGCGCCAAATCTAGAGACTTTTTTCTGCTACCGGAGACTTTGGAGACAACATCTAAAAGCAGCGAACTCTGCTCTCCAGAGCGAGTAGATTGGTAACCCCGCCTCCTGCTCTCCTCTATCTTGTCTGCTGTCATGATTCATGCAGCTATTATTTCATCCAAATGAAAAATGGAGAACAGATAAGCAGATCATGGCTTGTCTACAGTGAAAAGAAGGACTGGGTTATTTACTTTGGCCTTTTTGGAAACACAGGAAGGAGCAATCAGCTAAGTGAGCTTAGTGCTTGGAAAAAATCTTTCATTCCTTTAGAGACAGCATGAAAAGTCAGCTGAGTACAAAACATAGAGAGGAAAACAAGAAGAAAAGGGACAAGAAGAGAGGGACACAACCTAGAACAGATAATGGATGTCTATTCTATTAACGTTTCTCTATCTAGAGAATGGGGCTGTTTTATGTGTTGTCTCCTTAATTCAGAGGCCCCCCTGCTTGTCTTTGCCTAGGGCCCCACATTTCCTAAATCTGCCCCTGCTCAGACTCTCACATCAGCCTCAACCCAGAGGCTCTGGGTCCAGCGGTACAAACACTATCTGCTCAAACTTCACACTGAGGCCGGTTCTGGTTCTGCTAAAAGTAGTTGTTCCTCTTCACTGTCGCCTTATGCTTGCAGAGAATGCTGGATGACTGGAAGCAACCAGCTTAGTTTTCTCAGATGATTAACATTTTTTGGTTGTTTCATCTCCTCCTGCAGCCTGGGCCCGGAGATCTGCTGCATCCTGCGTCTGTCCGGACCTCTCAAGCAGCAGTTCGCTCAGGTGAGATCACACCTGCTCAACCGGCACGTCGTCATGGTAACACACTGAGCTCTGCTGCTGCTGCTGCAGGAACACAATCTGGACCTGGACCAGCTGCTGGGTCCCGGTCCGTACAAGGAGCTGTACCGAGCCAACATGATCCGCTGGGGAGAGGACCGCCGGAACCAGGACCCCGGCTTCTTCTGTCGCCTGGCAACCGGTGGAGCCCGACAGCCTGTGTGGGTGAGCTGCTGTGATTGGTTCAGGTCTCCTTAGCGCCGTTCTGTGATCAGTAAGGTGACGGCGGCTCTGCTTTCTGATTGGCCAGGTGGTGAGTGACGCACGGCGGCTCTCGGACCTGCAGTGGTTCCGCTCAGAGTTTCCCCGTCAGACCCGCAGCGTCAGAGTCCAGTGCTCAGACGAAACCAGGGTGCAAAGGGGGTGGAGCTTCACAGCAGGTAATAGTGACCCGTCCTACTCAGGTGCAGCGGTGTCAAAAGTACACATCAAGTAGAAGTATAGATACTGCAGTATAAAAACACTCTGAATACTTGACATCTTTACTCAAGTAAAAGTGAAAAAGTATGTGCTCCAAAAAACTACTTAAAGTATAAAAGTATAAAGTAACCTTTAAAAAAAACAGCCAGATGCCACTATATGATTTAAAGCTAAATTTTTGGACTATTTCTAAATATTCTCTGAGATAGGACCAAGGATGAGGGAGGTCTTGTTGGTCTCCGTCTCCCGATACGCTCTCGCCTGTGTCCGACCTTTCAGACATTTCAACATCTTTTTCTGAATCCCACATTGTAGCATGGCATAGACAATTCACGTTAGCAGTTTGAAGAACACCTGCTTGCTTCTGGTGATTTCCTTTAGCTAACCAATGAGTGTTTGCGTTCTATGACTCATCCGATCACTAGTTTTCACTAGATGTGGGTGGAGCCAATGATCTGCATTGGATGGAGCACATGGCGGGAAATAAATATTTAACATTAAACCGAAGCCAAGAGTAACGAGTAACCTTTTCTTTTAAAAATGTAAGGAATAAAAAGTCAGAAGTAGGAGGAAAAATAAGTAATGGAGTAACGTATAGATACCTAAAAAGTGTATTTAAGTACAGTAACAAAGTATTTGTACTTGGTTACTTGACACCTCTGCTCAGGTGTTCGTCTGTGTTTCAGGTGTGGACGACGCAGAGTCAGAGTGCGGGCTGGACGGCGGCGTAGAGTTTGATTGGATCATCACTAACGAGGCCGGAGCCCCCCCTCTGGACCAACAGCTGCAGCCGATCCTGAAGGCGGCGCAGGAAGCGGCTTCCTCAACCCGAACTGATCAATAAAGTTATCCTCTGCATGAGTGGGAGGAGCGGCTTCGTCTAGGGAATCATTTTCTCCTCCCAAAGCGGCAGTTCTTTGTGCTTGTGGGATTTTTTTTTTTTCAGCGGTTGATCAACTCGTGCCAAAGTATTTGCAAGTATTTCTATTTCGCTCTTGGAGGTATTGACATAAATCTGATGATGACATCACTGGAGCGGGAGTGAATGTGCAGAATGATTGATCCTTCTACTTCCTGCTGGTGATGTCAGACAGGTGTCACCCTCTGCATGATGACACAGATCAAATGAAGCATCTGATTGGCTATCACTGCAAAACCGATATTGAGCCTTAATTTAAGCAGGAAAATAAGATGATCTACCAATGGAATTAGTATTTTTTATTCTTAAAAGAAGATGGTGATGTTGGAAAATCAAAATATTTCTCCTCTTATATATTTAGTTACATTTATCCAGGGAAACATGTTTTTACTGAGTTTGTTTCACCTGCAAGGCTGAGAAAATGTCTGAGTGAGGGATGGTTTTAGGTAAAACAAACTTATTCCTACAACAAGCCAAGTTGATTCTCATCGTTTCTGTAATTAGTTTTTTCATCAACATAAGTTGAACTGAATTACTCTGAATTACTGTGCCGTAAACTGTTCCCTTAACTAGGGTGACTAGTTGAATACTTTTTTCCCCCATACATTAGGTAATGTGCACTTGAAATAAGGCAATACTATTTTTTTTCTTATTTTAAATGTAAATTGTGTTGTTCCATTGGCAAAGTGTCTCACTTACCTCCTAAGTTCAAGAAAAAATGCATTTATTTTAAGAAAAAAAAGCAAAAAAAATTTGATTTCAACTTTTCCAAACCAACTTATGATTCTAACGACAAATCTAGGATTTAAACTGGAAAGAAAAATGGTTTCCTTTTTTTTTTTTAAACCTCGGCTTCAGTATGGAGATGTCTTCAGTCACTAAAACGCCGTCCATCGCAGGATCCAAACGGACGTCAAATCAGGATCTTATAATCAACGCTAATGTTTATATTTTCAATGCCTTAAATGCGTTTCTTGAAAACAAAGTCTTGACCTTAGTGAGGTTTTTATCTGATGAAATAAAGAAAAAATTTAAAATAAATCTTGGTATTTTTTTTTTCTCTACCACAGCAGCTTTTTATTGGAGCCACTAGAGGGCGCTCTTCCACATCGCAGATCTCAAGCCAATAGGTGCTTCCCTCACCTATAGTCATCCGTTTCCATGGTTACTGTTGGTAATACACTTATGGGCTGGATATTCTCCTGCAGCAGCGTGTCACTGATGGTGTTAAACCAATGAAACGCATTGTAGGTTTCCATGGTAACAGGAAATTAGGTTTACAGCCCAGGTAGTTTGGAATGTAACTTAGATCCTACATGGAAGTTCTGATGATATGACCCTTTCCCCCCCCACCCATGACCCACGTCCACCAGAAGCAGCCAGAGTCTCTGTTCAGGTTTACATGCGGAGCTTTTATTTTATAAAATCTTTTCACTCTGGGTCATTACAATGAGCTGTGACATCATGGCTGTGATGACATCACTAGGTAAAAATACTATTACATTAAAACGGGGGGAGGTCTGACCACTGATTGGCCCCTGGGTTGCCGTATTTGGCAGTGGAATGTCCTTCATGATTGGCTGATCACACACTTAAACCCCACGTCTCAAAAAACAACAAATATTGGCAGAAATAATATTTGGCCCTAATCAACGAATCGATTACCAAAAGTGATTAAACACTGAATTAGTCTAAACGAGGGAAGCTGTTAGTAACTGGGATTAAAATAAACAATTCAATGTGACAGAAGGAATGTGTGACATGGGAATCATCCAGAAAGGAGGCAGGAGGCCACGCCCTCATCACACCTCCACCTGGAGGAGGAGGAGCTTCAGCAGGCTGCGCCGCAGAGCTTCCTGGTAGGCAACGCGGTGGGAGGAGCTTCAGCAGGAGTTAAGCTCGTCCATGGTCTGATTCAGGGTGGCCTGAAGCTCCATGTTGGCGTTTCTAGCTGCAGTCAGAGCGTCTGCAGGCGAAGGAAAGAGCCTCGGCTTAATTACAGATAAACTACAAACTAAGCAAATAATAAATACAGTTAATAGGTAATTATAGTCAGACGCCTTAAAAGTGCTAAACATAAATCACAAAAAAATACAGCAGAAAATATAAAATAACCGATAAAAGGAATTTGTTTAAGATAAATAAACAATGTCACAACAACTAAAGCCGGGCTTAAGGCTGATTTATACTTCGTAGGTGTCGCAGTGAACGCAGAGACTCGTGCCAGAATTTTCAGATCAGCCTGACTTTCTGCCTGATCGTGTGTCGTAGCCTAGAATCTCTAAAAAACTGTTTATCTGCATGGATCCAGGACCAGCCTGGTGTTCCTCACTGACTGAACCTCGTTATCGTCTTAGATTAGCGACCGTTAGCATCAATTATTCATTAATTCAGTCTCACCTTCCAGTTCATCAACAGTTTTCTCCAGTTTCCGTTAGCATCAATTATTCATTAATTCAGTCTCACCTTCCAGTTCATCAACAGTTTTCTCCAGTTTGGCCACTGAACGTTCTGCAGACTCAGCTCTGGTCTCCGCCTGGAGCACAGGAAGCAACACAAGGTTGTCAGGAAGTGAACGGGAAATAGTCAGGAAGTGTCAGAGGGTAAGAAGTTAAAGCAAACAGGAAATGAACATAATGCTATTAAGAAGTGACAGGAGGTAAACAGGAAGTGGTCAGTGGGTTTAACAGGAAGTGAGCGTGGAGTAAACAGGAAGTGGCCGGTATGTTTAACGGGAAGTGAGCGTGGAGTAAACAGGAAGTGTTTAGAAGGTCTAACAGGAAGTTAGCATGGAGTAAACAGGAAGTGGTCAGTGGGTTTAACAGGAAGTGAGCGTGAATTAAACAGGAAGTGGTCGGTATGTTTAGCAGGAACTGAGCGTGGAGTAAACAGGAAGTGGTCGGTATGTTTAACAGGAAGTGAGCGTGGAGTAAACAGGAAGTGTTTAGAAGGTCTAACAGAAAGTTAGCATGGAGTAAACAGGAAGTGTTCAGTAGGTTTAACGGGAAGTGAGCGTGGATTAAACAGGAAGTGGTCAGTAAGTTTAACAGGAAGTGAGGGTGGAGTGAACAGAAAGTGGTGAGTAGGTCTAACGGGAAGTGAGCGTGGAGTGAACAGGAAGTGGTGAGTAGGTCTAACTGGAAGTGAGCGTGGAGTGAACAGGAAGTGGTGAGTAGGTTTAACGGGAAGTGAGCGTGGATTAAACAGGAAGTGGTCAGTAGGTTCAAAAGGAAGGAAACGTTGAGTGAACAGGAAATGGTCAGCAGGTTTAACAGGAAGTGAGCGTGGAGTAAACAGGAAATTGTCAGAAGGTCAACAGGAAGTGAGCGTAGAGTCAACAGGAAGTGAGCATGGAGTAAACAGGAAGTGAGCGTGGGGTAAACAGGAAGTGAGCGTGGAGTAAACAGGAAATTGTCAGAAGGTCAACAGGAAGTGAGCATAAGGTACACAGTGTCAACAGGAAGTGTGAGATGTGGCTCACCTCCTTAAGTTTGTTGCTCAGGTTCTTGATCTCCTCCTCGTAGCGATCTTCCTTCTGAGAGTACTGCGAGACACAGACGGCATCCAATCAGAGGCTAGCTTTAATAACGGTTGTAAAGCTCACCTGTACAGGTGTCAGAACTCAGGTGAGCGAGTCACTGGATCACCCCGGTTACCTTTAGATAGCAGATCAATCGCTGCTTGGTCAACAGACATGTCTGTGTAATTTTATTTAGATGGAGGCTGATGGCTGTGATTTTCTATCTGCCAGTGAACGCACCATCAGCCGCTACAGTTATTGATCAGAATCAATCTTCCTGGGTCAGAGGATGTACGGATTCCCACTCCCCTCCGCCTCCTACCTTCTCACTCTGCGCCTCCAGAGACTTGGCGCTGGTGAACACGGTTTTCAGCTCCTCCTCCACCAGCCGACACTTACTGCAGAGAACACATGCTGTCAGATAGGTGTGGGCGTGGCCTGGTGTCAGGTGTGTGTGTGTGTTAGGGCGTGCAGCGGGTGGAGGAGAGGCTGAAGCAGCAGGTAAAGGTCAGAGGTCGTGGAGGCAGCAGGAGGTGAGGAGGAGGAGCTTCACCGCTCTGACCGACAGGTGGGAGGTCATGTGACCTGCAGTACCTTGTCTTCAGATGCCTGCAGGCTCTTCAGTGATTGGTCGAAACCCCTCAGCTGCTCCTCCAGCCTCCGAACTTTACTGTTAGATAGGTGAAAAAAAGATAAGTAAAGAGAGGCGGACAGACGAGGACGAACGGGGGGACATGGAGAGCAAAGACAGAAAAGTCTGTTCATTTGGAGATTAGGATGAACTTTGTTTTACTTTGTTACAATAAAGTTGCTTTTTGTCTTTGTATCATTAGGCATGTGACCTTTGGCTGAGCAACATGTCTGTCCTACCAGGATCCTGCTAGTGCTGAGTCTGCAGCTGTGTGGGAGCAGAGGAGCGGTCCATCTCAGCAGGTAGCTAAATGAAAGGATGTTCCCTCCATCGTCCGTTTAAATATTCATAACATAAAATAACTGCAGAGGAGAAGCCTGAGAACTCTGATCTAACCGACTGAGTCATAACAGTCCAAGTTCATCCACAACAGCTGTGGACAAACAAGACAGAAACGGGTGGAGACAGAGAGAGAGGCGGGTCAGAACCAAAGTCTGGAGAAAAAGGGGTGGAGACAAATAAGGAAGTGATGGAGAGCAGAGAGCCCAACCAGCAAACAGGTGGTGATGTAGCAGAACATGTAGTGGTTTCCATGGAAACAAACAGGTAAAAATACATGGATGCTTTTATTCAATCTGAGTGAAAAGATGCTGATGTATCACAGGGTTTATACATGAATGAGTAGCTGTTATTTAATGCTTTTTAATGCTCTTAGAAATAACCTTAATGTCATCAACAAATACCTATGATTTTATATATATATATATATATATATATATATATATATATATATATATATATATATATATATATATATATATATATATATATATATATATATATATATATATATATATATATATATATATATATAAGTGCTGTCAAAATTATCGCGTTATTATCGCGTTAACGCGAGGCCATTTTAACGGCGATAATTTTTTTAACGTGAGATTAACGCTATGTGGTTTTATGGTAAAATTTTCCAAGTACATCCCGCTGCATCCTACGAGAAGGCGGGGCTATTTTCCCCCAGTCTATGCATTTTCCATAGGCTTCGAGAGCGGAGCTCCTCAAGGGAAAAGACGCTCATACACTGGGTGACGCTAGTGCCTTTTCTTTAAGCCCCACCACCAACAAACAAGTTGAGTGTCTGGTAACTAGTAGCAACCTGAAATACGCTGAGAAAACAGATTACTGAGGTGAAATGGAATCTGCTACGGCACTCTTGCTGTCTGTGTACGCCACAGGTCGGTATCGTGTGTGTGTGTGTCTGTGTGTGGGTGGGTGGGTGTGTGTGTGTGTGTCTGTGTGTGTGTGTGTGTGTGGGTGTGTGTGTGTGTGTTCTCATTTTTGTTAAGAGGCTGAAAAGTAACTTTCTAGAGCATAGACTACCTCCATCTAGTGATGTCGGTCTATTGATTTTGATGTATTGATTGAAAATTGTTCATTATTATCTTGGTTAATTAACATCTAATGTTAACTGTACTACATTTTATAGCAGTAGGGTAAAATGCTTGTCTTTGTTCAAAAGACTGTATTAACTGTAAAGACTGTCTTTTACATCAGCCCGTTTTCAGGGCCTTTTTTTTGGCTACATATTTCTTATTTTTCGCTACATGCTTCCTGTCTTCTTGCCATATGTTTCTATGGCATAAATCAGTGTCTGTGACCTGTTCTCATTTAAAAAAAGAACATTGGCACAAACCTAGCCTGTATGTATTTTTTGTATGTCATCGAGAGTATTTAAATGATTTTCAATCAGAAAAAAAATTTGCGATTAAAATGCGATTAATCGCGAGTTAACTCAGGCATTAATGCGATTAATCGCAATTAAAAAAAATGTAATCGATTGACAGCACTAATATATATATATATATATATATATATCCGTCTTCACCATGGACAGGCTGCAATCCTCGTTTTCCCGCCACTTTGGTTCAAATTTGCATTTTCCCCATTTTCTAGCCTTTTCTCCGCCTCAAGCTTATTTTCCAAAGCTTTTAATGCCAAAATTATCAAATTTTATGAATTTTAATGCCATCTAAGGCCTTAATTTTAACAATAATAATTTAATGACTTTTAATGACCTGCATAAACCCTGCATCAGATTCATAACAGGTGAACATTTGTGAGCAGAACCAGGCTGAGCTTCCTGCTGGAGTCTGCAGACCCTGAGGAACCGAACCCGGTGGGACTGACAATGACTAACAGTAGAGACTCGCCCTGATTGGCTGCTTAGAGCGCTCTTCTCTATATAACGGATGCATGGGTATCTGTTGCAGAGCACTGAGGTCAAAGTTAAACACTCCTCCCTCCCTTTGTTCTGGTTCTCCATCAGGTGTTTGGACTCTCAGGTATTATAAATCTGTACTCAGTGTTTTGGTTGTGAGTGAACTACTGTGTCTGAGCGGCGCACCTGTCCGCCTGTTCGGCCCGGTCCTCGGCCCGTTCCAGCTCTCCTTCCACCATCACCAGCTTACGGGCCACCTGATAAACAAAGACACGACTCAGGCTAAACTGATGGACCTGTCACTTATTTGCAAAAATATAGATGATCAAGTAAATGAAGAAAACATGTTTTAGGTGTGGTAGGTGTGAGGATTTAAACAAATAACTAATTATTGATTTATGGTTTATTAGATTAAATTAGTTCCATCCGATTAACTGATAAAGGAATTTATCAGGGTTTTAATGTTTCTACTGTCCACCAGAGGGCGCAGTAGTTCACTCTAAAAAGGAACCTAGCTGCTGTTTGCAGGAGAATTAACCCTTTATAGGACAAGTCCCTCAGTGAGATCTAGAAGCACTAGATCTATATCAGCCGTTCAGCAAATATCCTGCTACATGGCTGTGTATCTTATTTTGGCATTTGACCAATTAGATGAGCCCTTTAATGATATATTACCTACTGGAAATTAAGTTGAAAAACAAGTTAAAATAAAAGGTAAAAAGTAAAGTTAAAAAGTTAATAAGCCTAGTTAACAATTATATTTAGGTTTATAGACTAAATAGTGTAAGTGTCAGTATCAGCATTAATGCCTCTAAGGTTAAAGGAATAGTACACCCAAAACATGATTAGCCTTCATTTTCTACTCACCCCCATGCTGAACAACACTCTGGAGTACTTTTTTGATATCTCAAATGCATCTGGAGATCTGGGAGGCTTCTTGCTGTCTGCTGACATTCAAATAATGGAGGTCTATGGCGCCCGAGGCAGAAAGGTCCATAAAAGTCCACAAAAAACGTGTCAATATTCCTCCATACTGCTCGTCCAATGTATTCCAAGTGTCCTGAGTGGGTAGCGTCCATAATTTACTCGAAACGAAGTCATTTAGAATGTTTTTAGAGCATAAACAGTAGTGTATAGGATTTCCTGAAAGCGCGTTCACGAGTCTACGGAAACCGCGGCAGACCAAACCAGATGAAAGTGCGCATTCAGCTCGGCAAAGAACTCATGCTCTTCCTCAACACTGAAGTCCTCAGACATTTTTCTTTCGTTGTTTCTTTCTTTGCACAGGTAAACAGCACATTTCTTCTTCTACGCTTGCATTATTGGCAGAGCAGACGCTGAATGCGCACTTTCATCTGGTTTTTCCGTAGCGTCCTGAACGCGCTTTAAGGAAATCCTATACACTACTGTTTATGCTCTAAAAACATTCTAAATGACTTCGTTTCGAGTAAATTCTGGATGCTACCCACTCAGGACACTTGGAATACATTGGACGAGCAGTATGGAGGAATATTGACACATTTTTTGTGGACTTTTATGGACCTTTCTGCCTCGGGCGCCATAGACCTCCATTATTTGAATGTCAGCAGACAGCAAGAAGCCTCCCAGATCTCCAGATGCATTTGAGATATCAAAAAAGTACTCCAGAGTGTTGTTCAGCATGGGGGTGAGTAGAAAATGAAGGCTAATCATGTTTTGGGTGTACTATTCCTTTAAGTTGTACCAAAAAAAAAAACAAATGTTTCTTTTACTCAAAAGTGCTTCTATAAGAAATTCATGGGGAAAAAAAAACTCTTATTTTTCTTAATATATTCGGGCAACTTGGCTTTTCCTGTTATTACATTGACATCCATTTTTACCATCAAAATATCCATATTTTTTTAAATATTACGAATGTAATAAGGTCTTGTCCTGGATTCCAATGACACTTCTGGCTGGAAATGTTGATTTTTAAATTTTTACAGAGAGCCATATAAAGGGTTAAAGAGCTGGTTATCCTCCGCAGCAGTGTGTCGCAGATATTTATGATTTATTTCCAATATTGAAGCGTGGTCTGCGCTGTTATTCCACGCCACAACGCAAGAGAGACAATCAGGAACTCGCTGTGGGTCTAGATACGGCCGAGGCGGTGAGGAAGTGGGGGCAAGTTTGTGCGACCAAAATGGCGGTCATACAAACAAAACAAACCGGTAAGGAACCAAACAGGAAATACGCATACAGTAGAAAGGATGTAGATTCGAACAATCACAGGCCCCCTGTCTGCAGCACTGTCTGCGCTCACCTACAATTTTGGAGAGCTGCAGCAGAGTGTCTGCGGAAGTGGCGGAGCTTATCTGCATTTATTGCGACACATGCAGACGACCTGGTTTCTGAGTATAAATCAGCCTTAATGCCAAAGGGGACGGATTCTAGAGCAGAACCCAGAATGGATCCAAGTCTGGTCCAGAAATCTTTACAGTTTAATGGAGAAAAAGATGCAGATTGGTTCCATCAGTGAACATAAACTCCTTCATTCCCTCCGAAATTTAGCTGAGCTGCATGGAGAAGCAGCAGAACTGCTCTGCTGTTTTTTGGAGGCGATGATAGAAAAGTTGAGAGCGTTACGCAAAATATCTGCGAGTTATTATTCCACTGAAAGCAATCAGAACCAGAACCACCCGTTTAAAAGCGCTAGTAGCAGGAAAAAAAAAGCTTTAACATCTCTGATTGTTGAATTAAACTAAAACAGAAAGCTATAATCACAGCGTCGACTTTATAAAAACATAGAGACAAACAGTCGGACTATTTTTAGAGCGACTAAGTGTTTCACTTTTTGGTTTATCTTTTTATTCAATAACTTCCCGTTTCTTTATCTTATAAATAAGTTTATTAAGATGCTAGAAGATGTTTTTATTTGATTATTCTGTAGTTATTTGATACAACTGGAACGGCTTTAAAAAGATTATCATAAGAATTATAAAAAACTGTAAATTTTGGTTTTGGTGGATCATAGAATCAATCAGCAACAATTTTTTTTTATTTCTGAAGTTAAATTAAACCTCATCTTGTATGTATATACTGTAAAAATGGTGGCGCCCTGCCCCTGCAGCAGGTTAATCTAGTGATGTCACTGTGTGGCGGCGTGGCTATCAGTCTGGTACCTCCTCATATTTGCGGTCGGCCTCCTCGGCAATCATTTTGGCCTCCCTCAGCTGAACCTCCAGCTGCTCCATCTTCTCCTCGTCTTTTAGAGCTCGGTTCTCGATCACCTTCATACCTCTGTGGTGGGGGGGGGGGGGGGGGGATTAAAGGAAGGGGTCAGAGACTCATTAAAGAGTTAGCGTTAGCCTAAGCAAAGTCACTGATGTCATCGCCTTACGGCAGGGGTCTGCAACCTTTCATATCCAAAGAGAAAATCAACAATTAATGTATTTTTAGCTTTTAAAATAATATTAAAACACATCATTTCTAAGATAAGTAGAAGAAAAATGGCTCTTAAGACATATTTCTGGTTGTTTTAATTTCTTGTTTTTCCATCTTGTAGAAAACACCTAAGCTTTTAATTTAATTTTGGTGCATTATTTAGTTCTTTATAGACATTTAGCCATTATGCTGGATGGGGTTCAACGAGCAGCAGGTTGCAGACACCCGTCTTCAGGTAAAACTGAAAGCGCCTGAGATGCAGATCATGAGGTTCTGATGTTCGTCAGTGAGGAACGCTGACCTCTCGCTCTCATCAGCAACCTTCTCCACCTCATCTAGTTTACGCAGGGCGGTGGCCAGTCTCTCCTGAACCCGGTCCAGGTTCTCCTCGCTGAGCTGCAGCCGCCGGCTCAGAGACGTCACCTCTCCCTCCGCCTGGAAGACAGAAAAACCAGAACCTGGTTTTAGTAAGCGAAGGACAAGCTGTTAGCTAGCAATGCTTACAGGCTTACATGGTACGCCCTGTTTTTGGGGATGTACGGCTTTGGTACGCTCCAATTTCCCCCCCGGAAACTTTGCTCAAATGTTCAACATTTCCCAAGCAGCAGAAGCTGGAGTTTGAAAAATTTTTACTTTAGCTGCTGGAGGCGCCTCATCAACCAATCAGAGGAGCTGATCTGGGAGGTGGCAGGGAGTCGGACACAGCACTGCTGATGCAGAGCGCTATGATCACTCCTCTGAAACAGTTTATTAACGCCTAAATTAACTTAAATCTAGAAACCTGACGGGAAAATATCTACGATTTTATTATCCTAGATCCTTCAGTTTGTATCACATATCTGAAAAACGCTTCCAGCCGCCACCAACGGAAGAAAACCCCCCCCAAGAGGCGAGCGGGCCTGAGGCAGCTGCTGCTGGGGAATCCCAGTGACAGCGCCCCGCCAGTATGTGGGGGTCTGAGCGGCTCCCATAGAGGTTAGCCTCCACTCTGGGTATCTGAGCATGACCTTTAACCCCACGCTGCTCCCTGGGTGCCACAAAATGGCAGCCCACTGCTCCCCAACAGGAGGGGTTAAATGCAGAGATAAATTAATCCAATCAATAAATAAAGTTCAATTATTAGGCCCGAGCAGCAAAGCGCTGCGAAGGCCTATTGTAATTCGAATGTTTATTATTATTATTTTTCTCCGAAAAGAACTGCTTATTTGAGGACTTTATCATATTCAAAAACTCACCAAACTTGGCGGTTGCGTAAGGCCTAGCGAAAATTTACGTATTTTAAGGGGCCCCCAAAAGTCGCTACACGAATGCCTCAATGGCGCCCCCTTGAAATTTTCAAAAGACCCTCACCATTGACCTTTTTTTGTCATAGAAACATGAAAATTGGTACACTTGTAGAGCATCCTGCAGCGTTTGCTGCTAAAAGCGCCTTTGGTTTGAACGTAGCATTAGACTTCCTGATTGTTGGAATTAAACTATGAAACATCATATTGTACCTAGGGTTGTCACGATACTAAACTTTTCAACTCGATACCGATACTAAGGAAAATATTCGATACTTGATACCATTTTCAATACCGCAAGGATAAAAACAAAGACTCCAAAATTCTACAGAAATATTTTCATTAATAAATAAAATACAATAAATAAATACAATAAAGTTTGTATGTTGTGGACAATATTAAGCAAGCTTGATAAAAAAACATATAAAATTAAAATTAAGTGTTCCTTTCTTGGCTATGCTTTGCACACATAACAATGACATTAGCCAAACCGGTTAAGAAACAAAAATTATTCTCAGCAGCTGCACCTCTTACAAAAAATGTCTGAAACTGAAAGTGCGTAGAATTATTCAATCACAGTGTTCAGAAAGTGCATTTTCCTCTATTCTGCACTTTAGATGAATCACTGTTTAGGTGCCACTGGTGGTAGCGCTGTATCGATACTTTTAAAAACAAGTATTGTATCCGGATACAACGTTTCAGTATTGATACTTTTTTCAGTTTCGATACTTTTGACAACCCTAATTGTGCCTAAAAATGATCTCATGTCTTCCTAACGAAGTATTCAAGAGCAACAAAGACAAAAAATAAGTGTTTCAGAGTCAAAATTTCTAATTTTCTGGGGGAGGATAACCCCGGACCCCACTACGCCACGTAAATCCTAAAGACGTAACACACAGTAAGAAATACTCCTAGCTAAAACCCGGGCTAATGAGCAGAAAGAAAACCTTCATTAGTTGCCACAGTAAACTTTGCTGGATCGGCCTGAATGTTTGCTAGAAATGAGAGAATTTGATAAAGAGTGAGAAGATGAACATTCTTCAGAGACAGAAACACTTCAGTCTAGTCAAGACCCAGTTTAGCTTTGGCTCCGCAGCGCGCGCACACACACACACACTTTGTGTCACAATATCCTTGTGGGGACCTTCCATTGACTTCCATTCATTTCCCACTAATTTATATGGCCTAACCGTGACCCTTGCCCTAACCATTACTGACACATACCTATCCCTAAACCTAACCTAAACTCAATTCACACCTTAGTCCTAAACCTAACCCCCACCCCGAGAAGAGAAACATCCCTTATGGGGACCAGTTGTTGGTCCTAGGCTTGTCCCGATCTGATCCACGTATCGGATCGGGATGCCGATATTGGCAAAAAAATGCGTATCAGCAAAGCATGTAAAATGCCGATCCAGACTGCTGATCCATTTTTTTTTTAAAAATCCGGTCCGTATTTTCCAGTTTCGCCGATTGAAACGATCCATTCCACTATTTTGCGCCAGTGTTTCCCTGTTTTGCATTTTTATTAAAACTTACAGTAATACTTGCACCTTTAACTGTTTACGGTTTTACTGTTCACTGTGCAATTTCAGATTGCTATTCATAATTTTGTCCAGTTTGTGTTTATCTCTTAATAAACAGGTAAGTTTGTTGTTACCAAGCATTGTGTTTTATTCAATCTCACCTAATTCAGCTGGCTAGATGTTATCAAGAGTACTAAAACCCTTTTCAAAATGAGTCTTACAACTAAGGCTAAATACGTTAACTTAAACTTAAATACATGCTCGGATAGGCTGGTATCGGCCAGTATCGGTATCGGATCGGAAGTGCAAAAACCTGGATCGGGACATCTCTAGTTGGTCCCCACAAGTACCTATGAGTCCCCAAAATGTAGCATATTCCTAGGAAATTGTCCCCACCAGGTATTAAAGACAAGGCCACACACACGCAAACACACACACAGTCATCTTCCTATATATAGTGAGGACCGTGCGTCGACTCCCACGTTCATATTCAACCCTTCCTCTGCCCTAATTCGGACTTCATCCCAATCTAAACCACCAGCAGTGCGTCTCTAACCGTAATCCTAATCTAAACTCAACTCCCACCATTAGACTCTCGGAATAATAACGAGGAGAACGCCTTGGTGTGAATCCCGCTGTGGCTCAGTAGGAGCAGTAAATCTACTAGAACAGGAACCAATAGTTGGATAATTCTGCAGGGAGCAGCTAAACCCAAACCAGCTGCTGCTCTAACAGCCGGTTATGATCAGCAGCAGCAGGTGTGGAAATTCTATATCATAGCTCTATGATAGGGTGGAAACAAATAATCAAGTTATGATTGTTTTTTTTATGATACATTTTATTCTAAACTGAGAACTTCAGCAATAATAATTCAGCTTTATTGATCTCAAAATGGAGAAACTTATCTCTGCATTTAACCCCCCCCCCCCCCCCCCCCCCCCCCCTGTAGGAGCAGTGGGCCGCCACCGTGCGGCGCCCGGGAAGCAGTGTGGAGTTAAGGGTCTTGCTCAGGGACCCAGAGTGCAGGCTGGGATTGAACCGGGTACGTCCAACCTGCTCTGACCACCTGACCAACATTCCTTATATCAACAAAAAACACTAAACTAATTCATTTTTCTTCATTAAATGAAAATATAAGGATTTGAAAATTTGTATTTTACTAATAGAGTTTATGAAGGCGGCCAAAAAAATTTGAATTCCTGACAATTTTTTTTTTATTAAAGTTTTTCTTTTTTAAAGCGAGCAATGCTAAGGGTTAGCTACTGAAACTTGGTATTAAAACCGTCTCTACCCCCGGGGGACATAAATGGCCCGTCCTCGTCCACCAACAAGCCTCAGCCTGATTGGTCCTCTCAACGGTATCACTAAAGGTCGCACCGTATCCATAAGAAGGACCCCTGCTTAGGGGCCTGTAGGGAGGCGCCATACTTAAACGCAGCTTTTAGCATCTCTTCTCTCTCAGGGTTCCTACAGCATAAGGCAAGTTAAATTCAAGACTTTTTAACGTCACTTGAAATAAATATTTAAGACCAAATTCACAAGAAACACAAGAAAAACCTGCTTGCGACAACTTAACCCCAAGGTTTATTTTAACATAAACCACTGCACTAATGTTTCACATTTTGAAAAGCTTCCCATACAGGAAGAAAGCTAAAAACACACAAATGACAGATATATTTTAACAATTATTTAACTGAATTCACAAACTTTGTTTTAGCAGGGAACAAAACAAATCAGTTTTAAAGCCCCAACATAACCAGTGCTAAGTCCTTTTTGCAGCTATTTTTCTTTGTATGGTTTTCTTAGTATGTTTGATTTGGTGATAAGTGGAGGCGTTGCAGAGACAAGGGTGGAACTAAACTGAGAAATACCGCCTGTTTCTCTGTAACTCCATTTTGACGCTTTGTGTTTCGTGCTTCGCATGTGCGACTCCACTGCCTTAATTCCCATCGTTCTGAGCTTGAATGACTTCTTGCACTAAATCCACTGAGCCTCATGTATGTTCCCTGGTTTTAGCCATGGAGGAAACTCTTGGCTGGAGACAATTTTGGTTACATTTACACTTGCTCATATTTTCCAGACAAAAAGTTAATGGCGCATCTCCCAAATGTCCCGACAGCAACAACGCTTTTATTGATTCCGCTAGGGCTGGGCGATAATTCAATAACGATATATATCGATTGATAGACGTGTGGCGCAATAGAAAAAAAGAGGGTCGATAAAAGTTCGATAAAAAAGAAACGCAGTTTTCCTTCCTTCTCATTGTAGCCTATCATGTAGGTTTATGCTAGTCACTGCTTCCTCCCAACCAATCACAATCGCGGACCCAGGCACGCCGCCACCAAGCGCCGCCCTCTCAAACCACAACACAGAGCACATGAAGATGCAGCAAGGAGAGACGGAGGAAATAGTTTCAAAGAAGGGTTTTTGTAGTTCGGCAGTCTGGCAGTATTTCAGTCATGGCAAGTCGGACAAAAAACAAACCACAGTCATCTGGAAAATGTGTCGGGAACCAGTGAAAATGAAGTCTGATAACACAACCAACTTTTTTTTTTTTTTTTATCATCTTAGCCGCTCACAGCCGCAGGAGTACGAGCTGTGTAGGCCCCGACGCGGCTCTCCTCCGAGGAATCTTCGGAAAATATTTATATATTTTCAGTTCTGGGCAGTTTCCCACGTAGTTCTAACAATTGAGATAAAAATGCTGAGGGGCCAGAAACTTCAAAGTAATAACTCAGGTTAAAGCAGAAAACGGGGGCGGCGGCGGTGGGGGGGCATTTATTTATTTGTTATATTTATTTTGGTCACTTTAGTTTATTCTTTGTCAGTATTTAATAACATTTAAAACAATTTAAAACAATTCTGTTATGGTTAAAAAAGTTGGTTAAATAAAGATTTAATTCGAAGTCTGTGTTTGTGTTTTTTATTAAAATTAAATCATTTAGCAATATTATAAAATGTCCAGGCAGAGCTGCACATAAAATATGGTTTCAAATCTTTTCAATAATTATCGATATCGATCAATATGCATTTTTTTTTTATCGATAAGCTTTTTTTCTATATCGCCCAGCCCTAGGTTCCGCTATCGGGACGGAACCAATAATGGAGAGCCGTTATTTTTTTTATAAAAAGAAAAAAAAATTGTCAATTTTAACGTTTTATTTAGATTACAAAAATAACAAAAATAATCCTATTTATGTTTTAAAAATTAAGACCTACGAAAGACTGATTTAAGACATTTTAATACCAAATAAGGCCTTAGTTTTATTTTGAAGAATTCAATGCCTTTTAAGACTTTTTAAGGACCCGCTGGAACCCTGTCTCTGTTGTCGAGGCTGGCGATGACTAAAAGCACCGAGCGCTGCGAGTTCACCGTCTTCAGCCAGAAGCGAGGGCTGCCGTGGACCCCTCCCACTGTGGGAGCGGCGCTGACAGGAACCTCTGCCTCCGTCTGTTTGTCCATTGAAAATGAGTCACGCTGCTTAGAGCAAAGCTTCCATTGATTCTGGACGGATTCCCTGGACTAAAAAGCAGGATGCAAATAGAATGTAAACTGAATCTTTAATGTAATGTTTGTTCTCTGAAGCCGTTGCTTTTAAATAGATCCTTCCCTGTAGCTGATTCACACACGGCCTCCCATCTCAGCTACTGGGAGTTTCTCTGCTGTCTTTCGGCTAAATTTGATGATGCAGCAAAAATATAAAAAAAATACAGCATAAACGCAGATCAAGTTTGCTTTTTTTAAAAAGCAAAGAGATTGTGCAAACAGGGCTTTTGTCAAACCCAAATTGTGTTAAAACAGGAAGCTTTCATATGGAGTCTATTTTTTCCATGTTCAGTTAAAGAGCAAGTTTCATAAATAGAAATTTTAAACGAAAAATTGTATTTAAAGAAAATAAAAAAAGTTATTTAATAAATATTAATATGATAAATGACCCTGTAGTGGACAAAGCGGCGCCAACGGTGAGTGTTTGCATTGAGGTTAAAGTGACGAAAATGTGATCTTTACATCGCGATGCGAAAAGAAGGCAATTCATAAAACTCGATCTGAAATTTGATAAATGTGAAAAAAAGAAAACTTTAAAAAAATTCTTCTCTTCTAAAAACCTTAAATAAGATGAAAAAGTAAAGTTTTATCTCTGGAGTGCATTTTATTTTTTATTTCCATATGGCAAACCTGCTCTTTGCTTGCAGCAATAATGGAACAAAATTCACTCCATACGCTTCTAAGCGTTATGCTAACTTGTTCCGTTGTTTTGGAGCGACGCCTGGGAAGCTCCGACCTCCTGAGGTTCAGTCATCCTTCTGACGACCCGTCAGGCTGCAGCAGGTCAGGAGGTACGGAGAAGCAAACCCCTGCTAACATCTTTAGACACGTTGTGGAGATCAAACCAGCAACCAGAACCCTCTGCCTACCTTGGTACAGGGTCAGGTCTGATAAAACGACCCACAGAACCGGACCAGAACCTGTTCATACCTCCTCCCTGGTCTTCTTCTCCTTCTCCACCTCCCTCTGCAGCCGCTCGGCTCGCTCTTCGGCCTCCTCCGCCTGCTCCTGCAACACCTTGATCTTCTTCTTCACTGCATCGATGCTGTTCATCCCTCCGCTCATCTTCCTCTCCTGCAGGAAAACAGAAGCCGATGGGTTCAACAATGGTGAGTTTAACTGGTCAAACTGGTGGTAAACCAGTTGGATTATCACAACCAATCCTGTTAGACTAAAACACAGCTGTTCTGATATTTCAGGTTCTGTCTCAGGATGGGACCTGCGACCCGATCCTGGCCTCCAGAGTCCATTAAATCAATTTCTAACTCAATATATTAACTTATTAGCAGCTTTTGATTTTCCGCAGCTATTTTCAGACCAAAAACAGAGAAACAGTGAAAAGATCCGAGAGTCTCCAGGAAAACAGGAAGTGAAAAAAAAAAAACAGCTATCTGACTGAACGCTAGTGGATGTTTCACAGATCTTCTATAAAACATCCACTAAGCTTCACTCCTAGCAGACATTTTCTCTTCAGCGGCTGAAAGAAGCTCTGCAGCTGTAGCCGTGGAACCTTTAAATAACTTTAATATTCATATAAAGATATAGGATGTAGAAACAGATTAAACAAATAACTTTAAATATAATATTTAGATAGAAATGGAACCTTTATTTTTCGTTTTGCCACTAAATGGGACAGAAAAAACGTCTAAATTAGGAAAAAAAAATCTGTCAAAAAGTCAAATTTTTTTGCACATTTTTATATTCATTAAACTAATTTGCGTTTCCTTTGAAAATTTGTCCAGATGCAACATAACGAGCAGCAATTAATGATCTGGGGCTGCAGAAGCATTCATCGTATTACAGAGACTGTAAAACTTTATCTGACAGAACGGCTCAATTAGAGCAGTAATTTAATATAGAAACTTTATGACATCCAATTCCTTAACAGACTAACTGATTAATCGCTTTGCTAAATAATCGTTAGTTGCAGCCCTAATACGGATATAACACTAATTTGGCATGATATCAATACCAAATACAAATATTGTTTGCATATTTCTGCTGCAAAATTATTTTATATTTAGGTTATTTATTTTGCATTTATTTGCACTTTTATTTAACTATTAGAATCAGTGATTCTGTTGAGAAAACATGTTCAATGTTGAGATTTAAAGAGGTGACAGTTTTCACTGTAAAGTTATTCTTTATGCGTAAATATACGATTATAAAATATTTTCCTGGGTATCCATATTGTGTTTAGAACTTTAATACATCACAACAACCTATATTTCATTCTTTACATCTAACACTGACATAAAAACGCTCTTTTTAGCGTCTGCTGAAAATCTACCGTATTAAAGACGTAAACTTTTAATAAGAGATATCCCCTTAGAAGAGACGAGGCATCTAATCGTGCTCCAGTTTCTCCCTTTCAGAGTAAATTTTGTTTTTCTCCAACAGGTTCTTCCAGAAACGAACGCCCCGTTTCTGACACCTGTTTGCAGATCTCAGCTAGCGAGTTGGAAAATCTCCGGTTTATTCCAAACACGGCAGACATGTTTCCTGCTCAGGGCAGACAGACATGTTTACTCAGGATAACAGCTTTCTGAAACATAAAGCCAGGCTACACAGGAAAGGAATTTACCCCAGAACTTACTCTGGAGTAGGGCGGGGTATTTTCGCCAAAGTCCTGAATCGATTCGATTTTGATTCATACTAGGGATGCACGATATTGGGATTTTGGCCGATATCCGATATGCCGATATTTTAAAACTCAGGTAGCCGATAACCGAAATCAATACCGATGTTAAAGCTGGACAAAAATAAGTAGTCATTGAAAATAGCAGTTTTGTTATCCATTTCTGACACTCTGAAAAATAATATACTCAAATATATTTTCATATGCTGATATCAAATTGATTTTTAAAAACGCGGTATCGATCTATTTTACTTTCAAAATCTCGTGAAATTTCATCGTTCTGTTACAAACTCTTGTGATATTTTGCAAATTCTTGTGAGATTTTGTTAGTAAAATAGATCGATACCGCGTCAATATATCAACATATAAAAATATGGCAACATTTGGTGAATTTTCGGGGGATTTCGTAGCATAACGATGACATATAGCAATATTTCATTAGTAAAAGAGATTGATATGGTGTTTTTAAATGGCAATATATCAGCATATGAAGATATTGGGATATTTTAATGTATCAATATTTTTTCCCTCGTCTTTAGAAGTTTTTAAGTCTGTAAAAAAGAAGTTTTTGAGGAAGAAGAAGTAGTATTTTTTTTTTTTTTTTTTTTAGACTTTAGAAACTCAGAAGCTGATCAAATATCGGGTTAAATATCGGTGGGGTGGCCGATGTCCGATATTCAGTTTTAAGGCCGATACCGATAGGGGGCCGATTATATCGTGCATCCCTAATTAATACATTCCTAAATCGATTAATTTTGATTCGATCTATTTTTGCAATAATGAAAGTGCTTCAACTGTGTTTCAAAATGCTTGTGTATTTTATTTTTTTCCTGTCATATTAAACACAAAGTGGAAACTTGTAAATCAGCTAGTTTAAACTTGAGATGTGAAAAAAACTGTCTCATAAGTGCAAATTTGTTTGTGAAAAGTGAAAAAGTGAAGCCTCACTCACTCAGACATGCATGAGCTGCATATATTGCTCAGCCCCCGTTTGTTAATGTCTTCAGTCAACCTATTGGGTATATTTGCAGCTGTCTGACTTGAGGTAATCTTGAGTGCATCTTTCCTGCTCATTTGAATGTGAACATCATGTACTAATCAATCTCATTCCCTAGAAATCGAATTTGCAAAAATGTAAAGGAAATGATTCAAAATCGATTAAATCAACCTTTTTACCCAGCATTACTCTGGATCACCGCTAACTCTGTTCATGTCAACCAGGACTCTGGTCGACGACGGGACTAAAACTGTTCAGGTCTTTTATGTTTAACACTCTGCAGTTAAACATGACAGATTACTACCAACGCCATGAGAAACACTTCACTGCCCAGGAGTCACGATGTATAAAAATGAGCGTTGCACATCTGACTCGTCTCAGAACTAAAGAAAAACGTTTTATTTCCAGGAGGTTTGAGTCATCTTGACTTCAGAAGCTGGTGCTTGGCTGGAAAAGCCCCTCGTGGCGAGGAGGCAGCATATCACCGTTGCCATGGTTATTTCGAAACCTCTCACTCTGCATATTTCTTCACAGACGGGAACTGCTGGTCCAGGTGGAAGCTGCAGTTTTGACAAATTCATTGCAAATGGAAAGGCGAGCTGCAGCTCACCTACGCAGGTTTTATTCATTGAACTTTCTATGCACCACAATTTTAAAAATGTCTTCCTACTGTCACCTTTATCTCTAAAAGCTGCTCAGTCTTTTGGGCCCTGATCTTTGCAGAAGTTCTATTCTGCTCTACTGGACCTGTGGAGCTTAAAGTTTTCTCTATGAGCAATTTGAACACCCAAGTGGCTCTATTATGTTCATGTTCTGTTCTGCAGTAACTCTGCTTCTCGTAAAGTCGTCAACTCTGTCGGAGGTCGTGGATGAGTCTCCTCCGTCATCCGTTTTTTATTTAGAGGAGGAAAGCGGGGACGAAGATGTAGTGGAAGAGGACGCCAGGGCGGCAGAAGCTTGGTTTGGTGTAGAAGGCTTCCAGCCGTACATGTTTGAGCCCTTGCCTCGCAACGCTGCCAGTTCTGTTAGCTCTACGCCTGCCGAAGACACAGACGTCCATCCCCGTGAACACTGGGACGCAACTCAATGGGAAAGGAAAGGATTCTGATTTCAACCGTTGCGTATATTAGCTGCGACATATGAATCAAGATGCTATGACTGAAAACATTTGATTGACAGATGAGCGTTGATATATGATTGGCCGAATTTAGGTGTTCAGGCTGACGTAGAACTAACTGGCCTGCAGAAGATAACGAAAAAAAACGACTTTTTAAGACAGGATTTTTCTTTTAAATAGAAACTTTATACATTTTGGGACAATATCATCTGATAAAGAGTACATTTATATACAAGTTTAAGTCAGGATTATTTGACATTTAAATAGGACTTCCCTACAACTTTAACATTTTAACAGTGATGTTTAGTTAATATAAATCAGAGCTGAAGTAATTAAACTGGTTTTTCACTTGTTTGCTGACCCAATCAGACTCCTCTTCAAAGCAACTCAACCGTTTCATCCTGACCTTTACATTTTAATTAACACACGTGCTGCCTTTTATCACCATGGAAACGGCTCTAAGGAACCGGACCCAGCCTGGTTTAGCGGAGCAGCAGGCTGGGTCACCGCGGGCCGTTAAAAGGCTGGATGGGCAGCAGCTCGCAGGGAAACATCCTCTCAGAAGAACCGGAACCAGCGGGTTTGAGCTGCCTCGTCACGCTTCTGTCTGCCTGCCCGAATATTTCGGCTAGTTTCGGCTCAAACTTTTGAATTAAAGTTGAAAATGTGTCAGATTTCATGTTTTCACCTGGAATCATTTTCTGGTCAGGTTGCATTCAGAGTTGTTTGGACGCTTCTATGAGCAAAACTTTACAAACTTTGATATAGAAGCAGCATGGGACGACGTCATTTCCGTCCCGTCTGATCCGGCTCGGTCGGTTCTGGGCTCCCCTGTTGGCTTTTAGTATTCAGCTTCTGGCCAAGAAGTTCTGAAATGTACCTGCAACCCGCTCCCCTCTGCGGACTTACCGGACGGTTAGCAGCTAGCGGCTAACAGGGCTGTCAAACTGTGGCTCCGCGGACTGATAAGATGTCTGCGGTCTCGGCTGGTCGGTGTCCCGGTCCAAACTCTGGCTCTAACTACGAGTCCAGATATCTAGAGCTCAGATTCGGGTTTGGTTCTGGTTCCTCACCTACCTCAGCCAACACCCTTTTCCGGGTTAACTTCCCTCCACTGGAAATGACGTCACCTGCTCTTCCTTGCTCAATAGAATCGAGAGTGGAGCTACAGCGCTGCCCCCTGCTGGTCACACGCGGAACTGTCTTCCTCAACATGTTCTGATGAAGGACGGAAGCCGGGAGGGATTTTAATAAATAGAGCCAGAAGGTTGCGTTACAAGTGAAATATCCGTTTTTCTTCAACAGCAGGCATATACTTGACTGGATGTTTAACTGGTTTTCTATGGAAGAAAAACAGTCTCATTGTAATCTCCCTTTTTCATTTTTTTAACATTGTATTTTAAACACAGAATTTTCTTACACATTGAATTCCTTACACTTAATTTACATCTGGTAAAAATTTGCCTACAAAAAAATTCAGCTACAAAAAAAATGTGCCTGCAAAAAAGTCAGCTGCAATGAAAACATGTAAAAAAAAAATAAAAAAAAATCAGTGTTTAAGATACGGTGCTACAAAAAAAAAGGCAGATTACAATAAGACTGTTTTACTTCCATAGTTTTCAGATTATAGATTTATTTGACAGGGGCAGTGTACATTAATAAGCATTCCTGCAAATGCACCAGAATTTGCCAAAAGGCTATTTTTTAATCTGTTGTCCCTGAACAGACCTCAAAAACTAGAAACACAACAGTAAGAATTTTACAGTGAAAAAAACAAATATAAAGACATAAAATGCTAGTAAAGATTCTCAGTCATCCAGGTCATAGTCACAATGGTGATGTTTTGCATCATCATTGTGATTGCTTTTGTCTGGGATTTAAAAGTTAGCTTTTCATCATTCTGCTTCATTCTATCTCTATTCTCCCACTCTGCAGAATCTGTTAGTTCAATCTCTAACGTTCTGCTCTCTCTGCTTTTTCTCATAGTAGCTTCATCTGGTCGGTTCCTGTTTGGCTGTGACTCCATCCTGGAGAGAAATATCAGCTGTGCTGCTGCCATCAACACCTTTGTTTCTAGATGTTGGAGCTTGGCCTGTTTTCCAGTGTAGTCCTGTTTCTCTTACTGTGACTAACTGGATGTGCTCTCTTCATCCTCTGACATGGGAGCTGGCTCGGAGCTCGTCTGCCTGGCTGTGTGTTTCCTGGACGGGGCCGCCTGTGGAGCTGGTTGACAGTTGCCTTTTGTATCTATGCTTCTTTTTCTATGTCTGCTTCTGTCTCCTTGAACCCCAGTGGGCCTCAGCAGATGGCCGCTCACACTGAGCCTGGTTCTGCTGGAGGTTTCTTCCTGTTCAAAGGGAGTTTTTCCTCTCCACTGTCGCTACAAGCATGCTTAGTGTGAGTGATTGCATGCTTATTGTTATCCCTAATGTTCTTCTTTCTATAAATAATTCTTCTTTTTGAAGTCATCTCCAGAGATTCAAGACTTTCTAGAACAGAGCCGGGTTTTCATTATCTGCTCGTTGGCTACCCTACCCCACCCAATGATGGCAGAGTAGATCCAAGTCTCCACAACAGAAAACCAGCTTGATGTTGTTGCTATGGTTATGCCTCTCAACAAATATAAAAATAATAAAGATACTGGCAAAAATCTTGATTCACAAACCAAGAAACTTAAAAAAATAATATAAGAATCAAGCTAGCAGAGCAACAGCTACCTTAGCAGCACAATTCCAGAACATCTATCCAATAAAAACGCAGAATAAACAGCAGCTGATGATCTTTATATATATATTCAGCAGTAATCAATGAGACAGATCAGCAATCAGTTAATGAAATGTTACAGCACAGATTCAGCCTTTGAAACATCTGGAGCTTACAGGGAGGAACACCCGGGTGTTTCTGTAAATGCTCCGAAACGGTTGGACCCTGAAAAATAAAAAGGTCAAACTTTCTCTTTTAACGACGTTGATCCTGATCTTCAGCTGAAGCAGCTGGAGTCATTTTCTGTCCATCAGCAGGTTCATAGTGTTCATTATGGGCTGTTTATATCGCTGCAGGTCTCAGCACCTTGGCTGCAGCAGATGCTCAAGTTTCTGCGAGTTATGTCAATAAGCTTAAACTTTTTTTTTTTTGTCACATGGGGGAAAAAAACCCAGCGTGTTCGACACGCATCATCATTATCTTCAATATTTTTGACACAAGTTGATGAATTAAAGGTATAGTGGAGGATGTTCTTTTTCCAGGTGGATTTTTAAATAATTGGTCCCCCTTAAATGTCAATCATTCTGGTGATATGTTTACGTAACGCCAAACTAGGAGCTGGTCAACATTTTCACTTACAGTGATGAGTCTTACAAGGTGTAAAAAAATTGCAAATCTTTTGGAAAGTACCGTATTTTCACGACTATAAGGCGCACATAAACGTCTTTTTTTTCCCTCAAAATGTGCGGTGCGCCCTATGTGTGTTGCAACTGCGACTTTTGAGACCACCTCATTGAGGAGATGATGAAAGAGTGGCTGAATGTAAGGAGACCAGGTGTTTTTTTTTCCACTCATCACCATCGCTGTTAATATGCAACTCCATGCGTGCCCATCTCACAGCTGATGTGAAAAACATGGGGAAACAAATTAATGCTGTGCTCGCTGTTAAACCGCTCGACATCGGTGTGAACCGGACCCAGCAGGTGCAGCAGAAGCAGCGAGTTTACATGCAAAGTCAACGGTTGACGCGCGTATAGGCGCAGCAAAAGGTCCCGCAGCGCGTTTTGAGCAGCAGGCGCAGCGACTCGGGAGCGTTTAAGCATCTACCAACGCGCTGCTGCTGCTCAGATGGAAAAATTGAAGTTTTGCTGCTGGAAGCGCCGCATCAACCAATCAGAGAAGCTGATCTGGGAGCTGACAGCGAGACAGACACAGCGCTCTGATGACATATGATTTTAAAGCAAATGAAAGGGCTGGATGAATGAGGAGATGATGAAAGCGTGGCTGAGGGAGGTGTATGTGAGGAGACCAGGTGTTTTTTTTTCCACGCATCACCATCGCTTTTAATATGTGACTCCATGCGTGCCCATCTCACAGCTGATGTGAAAAACACGGTGAAAAAAAATAAACGCTGTGCTCGCCGTTATCTCGGGGGTCTGACAAAGGAACTTCCACCGCTCGACATCGGTGTGAAGCGGCCGTTCAAAGTAAGGCTGCGAGCGGCGTGGGAGCGATGGGTGACAGACGGAGACCACAGTTTCACGATAAGTGGAATGCAGCGCCGGGCAAGTTACGCCACCGTTTGCGGATGGATTGTTGATGCTTGGACTAACGTGTCTGCTGGCTCTGTTGTTCAAGCTTTCGCAAAAGCCGGCATTATTTCTGAGGAGCCGTGCTGCACGGAAAGTGACTCTGACAGCGAAGAAGGGGAAATTGGCATGTCTGATTTAGCGCAGCTGTTTAATTCAGAAACAGTGGATGAGGACTTTGATGGGTTTGATTAATACTTTGTAATAAATACATGAATAAAGCACAAACATACTCAGTTTTGCTCCCGCTCTATTTTTCTATCTGAAAACTTAATTCAACAGCAGCCTCTGGGCGGGTCTCCTCCTCTTCACCGCTGCGGCTGGCAGGTGTTTTTTCATCTAAATAATCTAAATCTTGCAGCTATATTTGATGTGATCAGTGGGAATAAAGTAGTTTTAATATGTTTTTAATTGAGAAAGTCCACCTGAAAACTTAATAATTGCAGTCAGTTCATCCAGATTATCTATTTCTGTCGGAGGCGCTCAGACCCCCACATACCAGCGGTGCACCAACAGTAGAAATCCCTTCAACAGCAGCCTCTAGGCTGGGCAGCCTCCGGGTTCATGCAGCGGCTGGCAGGTGTTTTTCATCTAAATAATTTAAACTGCAGGCACCAGGATACCGGTAATAAAAGCGAACATATTCCGTCGGCAGGTTTCAGGATTTTAAGTTAATTTAGGAGTGATCACAGCGCTGTGTCATCAGCGATGTGTCTTTCTCACGGCCAGCTCCAAGGTTTGATTAATATTTTGTAATAAATACATGAATAAAGCACAGTCATACTCAGTTTTGCCCCCGCTGTATTTTTAAATACGCAGTAGAGGTATTTAAAGGTAGTAGAGGACATGTACCTGTATATAAAAAACGCGCCCAATAGTCCGGTGCGCCTTATGTGTGTGTTAAATACAGAAATGGCACACATAACTGAGAGTGCGCCTTTTAGTACGGTGCGCCTTATGGTCGTGAAAATACGATAAGCCTCTATGAGTGATGCAAACAGCAACTTTTAGCGCGCTCTCGCACGCGTTAATAGGCGTTCCCTCTCTGGAGCGGGCACAGGGTTGTGCATGTGCATTTTTTCTATTTTTTAATCGCAAAAATCCTCCACTTTACCTTTAACTTTCATAAAAAAAGATACAGCCATGCTAACATGCGTTTGTGCTAATGTACAGCAGCTGTGATGTCATGCAGTCCTCCCAACAGGTCCCCAGAACCCCCCCAATTCTCCCAGTCCCCGACTCTAACTGCTTCTTCCCTTTCTGCTGCTCATTTAAGGTTAATACAAACTTTTTGGCTTCCTTTGTAACTCTAAGAGATTCTGAAGCTAATTATTCAGACAGTAACAAACAGAATCAAATGTCTCTAAAACTACACTTCTGTTTAAATAAAGTTCACAAAGACAATCAGACTGACGCTCAAAAGGCCTTCTGGGTATTGTAGTGTGGTGACCGTTTATGTGTCTCATGTTTGGCGCTGAGTGAGAAAGAAAAACATTCCTGCTTCAAGCAAAGGTCCTGCAGGAGGTCTATTGCTGAAGACTGCTAAAACCTTTACTCCAGGATTCTGGAAGATGCGGGAACCTCCCGGTTCCTCTGCAAACCACCCAAAAGTTTTCGGAAAACATTAAGGAACTTCAAACAGATCGATTGTGGTGTTCCTCAAGGATGCCTCCAGAGATTAATAGGAATTATCCCAGTGGTTCCCAGGAATCTCCCCAGAGATCCCTGGGTACCTTCAAAAAGATTCCTATCAATCTTCCAAGAATTTTCAAGGAATCCTCCAAGTGATTCCCAGGATTCATCCCAGATATCCCAAAGGTACCCTACTAGACATTGTCAGGAATCTCACCAGGAATTCCTCTCAGGGATTCCATTGAATCTTACCAGAGATTCCAGGGAATCCTCCTACTGATTTCCCTAAATTCTTTCAGAGAGTCTCAAGGTACCTTACTAGTAATTCCCAGGATTTCTCTTAGGGATTCCATGAAGTCTTAACAAGGCTTCCTGGGAATTACTAGGAAGGTTCCCAGGAATCCTCAAGAGATTAAAAGGAATCATCCCATCAGTTCCCAGGATTCATCCCAGAGATCCCAAAGGTACCTTCATAAAGGCTCCTATCAATCTTGAATGAATTTTCTAGGAATCATCCCAGTAATTCCCAGGATTCATCCCAGATATCCCAAAGGTACCCTAATACACATTGTCAGGAATCTCACCAGTGATTCCTCTCAGGGATTCAATTTAATCTTACCAGAGATTCCAGGGAATCCTCCTACTGAGTCCCAAAAATTCTTTCAGAGAGTCCCAAGGTACCTTTCCAGTAATTCCCAGGATTCCTCTTAGGGATTCCATGAAGTCTTAACAGGGCTTCCTGGGAATTACTAGGAAGGTTCCCAGGAATCCTCAAGAGATTAAAAGGAATCATCCCATCAGTTCCCAGGATTCATCCCAGAGATCCCAAAGGTACCTTCATAAAGGCTCCTATCAATCTTGAATGAATTTTCTAGGAATCCTCCCAGTAATTCCAAGGATTCATCCCAGATATCCCAAAGGTACCCAACTAGACATTGTCAGAAATCTCACCAGGAATTCCTCTCAGGGAATTCCTGGTGAGAATTACCTTTCCAGTAATTCCCAGGATTCCTCTCAGTTATTTTTATGAAGTCTTAACAGGACTTCCTGGGAATTACTAGGAAGGTTCCCAGGAATCCTTCAGAGATCAACAGGAATCATCCCAGCGGTTCCCAGGAGTCCTCTCAGAATCCTCCCAGCAGATTTCAGCAGACATCAGCAGGACTAATGTCCTGAAGTGATTTTCTGAAGCAGACTCTAGACTTTGGACTGAAACACACAAACTCCGCCCACCTGCCCTGAAACCAGGCCTCCAATCAGAAATAACCTCAGCCTTTTAAAGCCCCTCCCTCTCTATCGCCCCCCGCCCTCCCCTCCCTTCCAGCAGACATGATGTCGTAAACAGGTCTCATGGTTATACTTCCTGTATCCAACAGAAAATTAAAAAACAAAGTTCAAGGAAAAAAGTCAGACAGTCAGCGGATCTCTGGCAGCAACGGCGACATCATCGACCACGTCACGCGGGCCAGGTCCACGGCGGAGCCGGGAGGTTAGCTCTCAATCTCCTCCGGGATGTCCTGCAGGTCTGAGGGTGACATCGTGTGGTTACCATGGTGACTGGTAAGGCAGCAGCGATCGGTAACTTAAGGGTCGGTTGTTGGTACGAACCTCTGGGGCTGTCGGAGCGTGGAGAGATCTTCATCACTTCCTCTTCCTCCTCCTCATTTCCCTCCTCCAGGCCGTCCAACTGGTCGACAGGATCCTCGATGGCCAATGGGGCGAAAGGTTGTGGCTCCGGCTCCTCTGCCTTTTTGTTGACCTGCAGGGAGACACGGTTGACATCAACGCCGTTTTGCTCGTCACCATCATCGCCTTTGTTCACCTGGCCCTTCGGGACGCACCTGTTGGTCCTTGTTGGCGTCACCTTTTCCTTTGTTCTTCTTCTTCTTCTTGCCTGAACCCCCCCCTTTCTTGTTGCACTCCTCTGCCTTTACTCGCAGCCGTGACAGCTCCTCCTGAAGGAGCTCTACTTGCCGCCGCAGAAGCACCGCCTCCCCACTGGCGTCTAGTGCTGCATCCCTGGACATTGACCGAACCAGGCGGGGGCCAGGGGCGGAGCCTGGGGCGGCGGGAGGCGTCGGACCCCCATTGCCCGTCAGTTCTAGGATCGAATCCTGGCGGATCACTGCAGCCTGGGGGTGGAGTCAAACAGACAGGTCAGTGACATCACTTCCTGCAACAAAGAGAGGAGATGATATGAATACACTGGTGCTGAATAATAGATAAACCTGATCAGACCTGCAGGGCATGAAGCTGCGTGCTCAGAGTGACCAGCCGCTGCCGCACTTCCTGTAGAGCAAACACAACCTGGTTATTGCTGCATCTTCACAGGTCTAGATTGGAGGGCGGGGTCTAATGCTACGTTCAGACCGCAAGCAGCAGAAGCAGCAAAAACACACGTTTCAATTTTGATGCCTGTCCAGGTTTAGTTCTGACGCGTAGCTGAAGCATCTTTACTGCTCTACCTGCTCGGTCGAGAAGTGGGTCTGATGCGCGTTGGGCGGAGCTACTCTATCCTTTCTTTGCCTGGAACAAAGGCAGCTATATTTGCTGTGATCAGTGGGTAGAAAGTCCACCTGAAAACATTGTCTGTGCAGTCAGTTCATCCAGATTACCATCCTGCCTTTCTCATACAGCGGTGCGCCGTCACTGGGAATCCCCAGCAGCAGCTGCTTCAGACCCGCTCGCCTTTTGGGGCTTTTCCCCTACTTTTGGTGGCGGCAAGACGTAGATGTTTGCGTTTTTTTTGAAAGGTATGTAGTACAAACTGCAGGCACCAGAATAATAAAATCGAACATATTTTGCCGGCAGGTTTTGATATTTTAAGTTAATTTAGGCGTTAATAAACTGTTTCAGAGGAGTGATCATAGCGCTCTGCATCAGCAGTGCTGCGTCTGACTCCCTGCCAGCTCCCAGATCAGCTTCTCTGATTGGTTGATGTGGCGCCTCGTCCAGCAGCTAAAGGTCAATGTTTCCAAATCCAGCAGCTGCTGCTTCTGAAGCGTGTTACGCACATCAGATGCTCAGAAGCTCTTGGCGCGCTGCTTCAGCTGCTCAAAACACGCTGCAGGACCTTTAGCTCCGCCCATCTGACTTTGCATGCAAACTAGCTGCTTCTGCTGCTTGTGGTGTGAACATAGCATAAGTTTGATGAATTCAATTCTTTTCCGATCCCGTTTTACAGATTTTAACTCCTATCCTCCAGCTTTGAACAGCATTTCTACTGGTCTGTGCGTGGAGCCAATAGAAATGAGTCTGCTCTGTGGGGCCTTAGCAACAGCATTTCTATTGGTCAGACCACCCAGACGTGTAGAGGCAGAAATCTGGATTTCAAAATGTGAATAAAAACTTTTAAATAATATTTGAAAAATAAAAAATGAACCCAAATAAATCTCATAACAATTTGAGTTTGAAAAAATTAATCTGAAATAAAAAGCAAATTATGAAATATAGGTTAAACTATTCCACACATATTATAAATTTCTTTCAAAATTGTTCAATTAAGAAGTTTTTACATTTTTTATTGTAGTTCTTCATATTTCCTTTTTTAAAAACATGCTCTTTTAATGATATTAGTTCATCAGAGAAGTTTATGCAGTTCTTGTTCTTCATCATAATCTAAAATTGCGCCAAACTCTGGATCGCCTCTCATTTCAGGCTATAAATGAAGCCGTTTGGAAGAAGAAGAAGTAGAAACAGGAAGCGGCGGTTACCTCGTTTAGGCTCCGCTCCAGCAGCTGGTTCCCGTTTCTGTCCTGAAACACAGAACACTGATCATCACCAACACGCTCTGATGAGCCCGACGGGTCGAACCAGGGACGCCGTATGGGGAGGGAAAGGTAGGAATATTCTAAAGGCCCTGGACTGAGGAAGGCCCCAATAGAAGAAGAAATTATATGTTCCACTATATATTTTAATTCAGTGTATTTCTATAGCACCAATTCACATCATGTCATCTCAGGTCACTTTCCAGTTCACCAGATCATCCAGTCAGATTGATTAAAAGTTTTCTATCTAAGAGAAACCAGCTGATTGCATCGACTCATTGACTCTTCAGCAATACCTCACACTAAACATGCATGTAGCGACAGTGGAGAGGAAAAACTCCCTTTGAACAGGAAGAAAACTCCAGCAGAACCAGGCTCAGTGTGAGCGGCCATCTGCTGAGGCCGAGTGGGGTTCAAGGAGACAGAAGCAGACATAGAAAAAGAAGCATAGATACAAAAAGCAGCCGCGTCCAGGAAACACAGCCAGGGAGATCATTTCAAATATAAAAAGAAACTCCAGCAGTTAAGAAAATGATCTTTGGGTTCTTCCTGTTTTTATTAGCAGTAAACAGTGAAACAAAGATTAAATATAACGTACAAACCGCTCTTCAAGTATACATAGATACAGCTACGTTTTATTTTTTGTTTTTTTTAAATACGCCGTTATTATTGTGAGAGGATAATTTTTAATCTAAAGTTAAAAGTTAATGTATATTTAAGTTAAACTGAAACTGTAAATTATACCTTTGTGCATCTTTTTAAAAGCTTGCATACTATTTTTATTGTTAGATTTTTTTAAGGGGGGAGGGGGCAGCGGGTTGCAATATCTATGTTTTTCATGGGCCCCCAAATTCTTGGCGGCACCCCTGAGTCTAACTGTCCCACTTTGGTTTTCTACAGGTCAGTTCTATGGATGAATGAGTGAAAATGTTGGCAGAAGACCGTGTTAAACCAGTCGACCCATTCCATGAACAAACAGAACCAGAACCATCAACAGCCGGCAGCTCTGCTCTTATCAGCTGCTCCCTGATGTCACACTGAAAATCAACAGAACCTTCTCGGATCATCGACCAGCCGAGTCAAAAGCAGACCCGCCCAGTACTCCAGACTGATAACTCAGCCCTGCAGCTGCTCCTGTTGCCTTGGTGACAGCAGAAACACCAACAAGCAATGATAAACAGGAAGCAGAATAATGCAGCAGGAACTAGAAGTTCCAGGGAACTTTCTACAGCCTAGAGCTTCAGGAGGACAGACAGAGAGTTGATGAGAACCAAGCTGGTTCTGCTGAGGAGGATCTTTACCTTTGAAGAGCTGCTGTTCAGTTTAAACGAACCGTTGATGGAACCAGAGTCGCCGTCTACGGGAGAGAAAGAGGTTCAGGTGAGAGGAGGATCGCACCTCGGCAGATATACGGAGCTGGAAGGGGCGGGACTCACTGCGGATGTCCTGGTTGCCGTTGGTTACGGAGGATTTCTGCGTGCTGGAATCGGTGAGCAGCGCCGCCAGTTTGTCGACTGAAACAGAAAAGGAGGTGAACCCCCGTGAAACGCTCCCTCCAAGAGGTCCGACCCGAGGTCCCGCTTACCTTCCCCGATGGCGGCAAGCAGAAGCGGCTCGGCTTTGGGAGCGTGAGGAGTGTCGGCTCTGAACAGGTTCCTGTTGGAGGAAGGGGGCTTCACCTCCACGCTTTTCTCTTCCCCAGCCTCTCCTCGTGCTGTCGCCTGCACCAGGTCAGAGAACAAGGTGGCGCGCTCCTGCAGGAGCTCCAGAACCTCCTTGTCCTTCTGCTGAATGTCGGCTGTGGAAAGGAGGAGGAGGATATTAGGATTTTAATGTCAAGGGTTTGCAGAAGCTGTTAAACCAATTTAAACCTTTGATCCATCAGACTCCTCCAGCTCAGTGCATGCATCTGTAGCCCCACCCCCACCCGTTGCTAAAGAACACTGTTTTAGCTAGCTGTTCATCCTCAGCAACTGAGCAGCTCCATCACCAGAGGGCTGCAGCCTTCAAAACCCAAACTCAAATCTACGATAGTTTACTGATATTTTTGGAAAATCTATATAAAGTTTAAAAAAAAAACACAATACATTTTCACATAAAAAAGAAAAAATATATACTTCTGTTATAACTAGTGGATGTTTTTTTGTAAATGCACTCAGTGGAGAAAATTCTAAAACATGCATTTGATAGAATTTAATTGTTAAAAAATTAACAAAATAATTTTTAGCCCAAGTGATGAAGCGCCTTTGCAGAGCGCGTAGAGAGCCACAGGTTGCAGACACCTGCTCTACATCTTTCTGCAGCAGGCGGACATAATTTAAACTCCTGTGTTGTTTTCGTCCACAATGACGGTGAAGAATTCATTTCATTGATGTTCCTTCCTTTCGTGACGATAACAAAAACTGACGAGCTAAACATGGATCTCTGAGGACTAAAACATGACCAGTCATAGGTTTGAGTTTTAGTCAAGGAGATGTGACTAGACTAAATAAAAATTAGCAGGTGGTCTGTCAGGTGTTTAAAGGTACATTATGCAACCGGTGTTGATTTTCCAGCGAGGCTCCCCCCAGAGGGCGAAAGTAAAATTGCACTGTCGTAAATATGCTCAGCTGTTCTCCTGGTTTCTCCGTCAAGCCAGGCGCGGTTGTTTTGAGCTTAGCAGACAGGCGAACGCAACAAATCATCCATGTCTACTGCGGTAAGTCACTATTTTGTTCCAGTTTTCGAGTTTGAAAATTTAGCATGTTTCCGACATGGGCTTTCGCTGTTTTCTCGCTGGTTCCCTCCATGATAACTGCACAAATATCGCCACTGCGCTAGCAATAAGCATGCCTTTCACTGGGAGCGTGTAGCAGTTCTCGCCGTAAAGCAAGACCGACTCTCGCGATGCACGAGACTTCTGAGCCTGTGGGTGCGGGCCGAGGGCTCCTGCAATTGCAAGTACGGTATTTCCCCTACAGACCACCAGGGCGGCCGAGAAAACCTTTGTTCGACCTGAAATGACTCATTTAATCATCCAAAACGTTATGGAACACATTAATTAACTGAAAAATGTTGCATAGTATGCCTTTAAATGCATCATTGTGCTGTAATCAGCGAAGCAATATCAGCCGTATTTGATCCTGGTGCCCACCTGCCGTGTAACGTTGCAGGAGCACAGATGATCATGGCGGCAGCGTCTGAGAAAATAACCCAGAATGTTCTGGTACTGAGCGTCCAACGCTGACAAATTCTGCTCTGATCTTCCATCTGTGCTTCTGCAGAAATGTCTTCGCCCGTGGAGCTGCTAGTCTGCACATCTTGCTCCACTCTAATGGTTCACTCTCAGCCGTATGGCTCTTCCATTGCTACTTAATAAACTATGTGGCTGATCTATGGAAGCAAATCGTTATATTAATATTAAATTAAATAGTAGAAATAGAAGTTTTCTCCCCAACAGAAATGGTGAACTGCACGGCAGCATTCTATACCCAGCTACTGTAGCATCTAGGCTAGAGCTGTCAGTCTGGGAAAGACTCTGGTTGTTATTTGAAATTGTAAAGTTTCACTTTTTTTTTTGCAAAGTAAAACTTTGAACAGAACCGGCTGCTGCGGTTCTTTGCTCTAAGATGTTTAGGAACCTGAGATCCTGCAACATGAACAGCGGCTCCATGACGGAGCAGAGGGAGGAGCGGCTGCAGTACCTCTCAGTCTGCGGAGTAAAGCTTTGTCCTCCGTCTCGATGAGAGGAAACTCTTCTCTTGATGGACAGCTGCAAATACAATATAAAGTATTAATCAGAGTACTAAGGAATAGTACTGAAAGATACTGCAAACTATGCTGGTGAAGATTCTCAGTCATCCAGGTCATAGTCATTCCAAAAAAGTTAAAAAACAATCCACTGGATTTCGTTTCCAAGTTTGAAGACGTTTCGCTTCCCATCCAGGAAATAGCGTTGAGTTCCAGGTTTTATCCAGCAGCCCAACAAAGCCTTGTTTTTGTTTAAAAAACATACAAATAGAAACGGACGAACGGGTCCATCCCTTTGGAATGAGGGTCATTTAGCTTCTTTGTTAGCCTGCAATACCTGTCTATGTCTCTGAAGACCTCACCTGTTCAGCCAGGCCAACAATTCCCTTTATCGACCCCCCCTTTCAGAGACATAGACAGGTATGGGGCATTGCCTTGAACTCAACGCTATTTCTATTTTATTTTGATTAAAAAAAGCTTCCTGGAGGGTTAATATCAAAACTATACATTTGTATTAATAACCCAGACAACCATTCTACTACCTAGATTAAAAATAAGTTGGAAAATGAAGGTAGTTTTACTTTAACTGAAGATGAATGGGAAAGTGTAAGTTTATCTCAATGGAAGACAACAAAATCACATATCTGGAAAGAATTTAGCTGGAAAACTATCGCACGTTTCTTTATAACACCATGTCAAAGCGCTCATTATTCACAAGGGAACACCGGATGCTGGAGAGGATGTAGGTGCCTAAAGGCGCATCATTATCTTTTGTTTTGGGAATGCCCATTTATCCAGAAATATTGGAAAGAGATGAACAATGTAATGCAAACTGTTTATAACGTCACCATCCCTTTCAACTTCATGACCATGTACCTTGGACTGAAAACACCGGCAATGGACACAGTAAACAAATACCTTTGGAATATAATGCTTGCTGCTGGAAAAAAAGCCATAACTAAGAAATGGATGACGCAGTCAGCCCCCAACGATTTAAAAACTGGATTGAAATCATGACTGAAATAAGAAACATAGAACAAATTACTTTTAAAATTCACTTGAAACTTGACATTTTTCACAAGCTTTGGTCAAAATGGGACTCCTACAGGTTAAAATGTGCCGTGCTTCAAAATGGTCCATGATCCATCGCTACTTTCAACAAGCTGCATTTTTGCCAACTGCTCTCTATGTCGAACTGTTCTGTGTTATTAATGTTGTACTGATGTTTTGCCTTTAAACTTCATGTCCAGTTGCCTAAACTGAACTTTTCAAGACTTAAGACAACATTCAATTTCCCCTTTGGGATCTAAAAAGTATTTTTGAGTTTAGCGGTAATTGAATGGATGATCAGCACATCATCATCAAGCTCATATTAATCTAAAGCCTCAAACTCAACTTTATTTCAGACATTTTGAATTAAAAAAGCTTCCTGGATGGGAAGCGAAACGTCTTCAAACTTGGAAACAAAGTCCAGTGGATTGTTTTTTTTTTTACTTTTTTGGAAAACTGCAAACTATTTCATAGTAAAGTAGCCTGCATTACAGCATAGAACATTCTAGTATAGTAAACTGAAGATCAGGGTGGTCTAGTACAGCTTAATACTGTGTTGTACATTGTAGTACCATATAATATATTATAGTACAGGGTAGTACTACCTCTGAGCAGCCTTCTGGATGCAGCTCATCCAGGTCTTCCTGTCGTCTTTCGATGAAGCGTACACCTCGTACATCTCTGGAGGGGTGGAGTCACTGATCAGGTACATCCCTTTCTCCTGATTGGCTACTTCTCTGACGATCAGTTTGGTGAGGGAGACCACAGGAGACTTTTCCTGAGACAGAGGGGGGTGAACAGATGGGTGAGAAGACACCAGAGCAGAATCTCAGGTGTGGGAAGATCCAGCTATAAATCCAGGCCATAGATCTAGATCCTCTCCTCTTTAGCAGAGCAGAAAACTGTGAGGGATATTCTGAGAGAAAGTTCTGAGGAGACGAAGCTGTTTAGATCGGGGCTGACCGAGTCAGAACACTGCTCTAACTGTAGAGCACGGCTGTGGCAGCATTGTGCTGTGGGCCTGTTTCACATTTAGTGATAATGTATTATTGTACTAAGTGAACAAATTGACATTAAAGGTCAAATTCAAGATCTAAACAGTTGGTGGATTAAGGCCACGCTGTGTAACTTTCAGCCACTAGGGGTGCTAGACCTGTAATGTTGAATAAACACAGAGAAGCCAGGCATGCAGAGGGAGAACATCTATGCTCCTGGTTTCAGCTCCTCCTGGTTCCTCTCAGATGTTGGAGTCTAATCTGCTCCTCCTTCTCCGTCTTCCTCCTGTGTCTCGGTGCCAGTTTGGCCTTTTCTCTCTCCTCCATTTCTGTATTAAAGTTCATGGTTCCTGCTGCTCAGCTCCTCCCTACAGCAGGATCTGATTCTGCTGAGTTTGCTTCTCTTGATCAGAGATCGACCATTAAAGGATTTTTTTAAGGCCAAAACTGATATTGATTATTTTGACGTCAGTCTAACCGATCCGCGATCTGTTCCGCCGATTCTTTAGGGCCGATATTGTTTCCTCTTCCTCAGTTTACATGATAATAATGAAAAAATGATAATCAATGTTGTCTTAATTTAAACATAAACCTTTAATAATAAATCAAACATAACAAAATAAAAATTAACGATGCATAGCAGATGGAGGGAGCAGCAATGTATGCGCATCGTGTGGTCTTAAGGCATAAGGAGGATAAATTAGAAAAAAATGCAATTTAATAATGAAACTTTAAAAAAAGTTTTAATAGAAAAAAAATTTGAGAGTAACTTTATTGTTTTCACAGTTTTTCTTTCATTTTTCTTTTATTTTTTTTTTCCCAGCTTTTATGCTTTCTATTTATTTATTTATTTTTTTTATATTCTGTTTAATGAATTTAATTGTTTTCCGATTGAACTTTAGGGATCAGTTCCGGCGAGGACTTTTCTCTGAGGTAAGGAGCAAAGAAGCATGCTTAGTGTGAGGGATTGCTGAAGAGTCAATGAGTCGATGCAATAAGCTGGTTTTCTGTAGATAGAAACAGGGTTCGTACACCTTTTCTAAATGTCAAAATCAAGCACTTTCAAGATCCATTTTAAAACTTTTTCCAGCACCTTACGGAACCAGTTTTGCACGGATGACTCGACAGCGCAGACTCGCCCATTGTGAAAAGCTGCACATCTTTTTTTGCAGACTTTACAAGAGGCAACTCGTGGGGTTTGTCCCCGTTTAATCCATAATTTGTATTTTTCATCTTCCAGCCAACGTTCATTGAAACGACAACCTCTCGGCATGGTGCAGTAGTGGTTTCATGGGGGCGGAGTCACACATGGAAATAGACTGGCAGATCGCAGTCACACATAAGCGAGCAGGTTTCATTTTCGGGGCTCTCCAACATTTTATTTCTCCATTTAATAAACACCCGATTCAGTTAGATAGGGATTTGTTGCGAAAGAAATAGTTACAATTTCAAGCATTTTCAAGCATTTCCAGCACCCGTACGAACCCTGTAGAAAACTTTGAATCAATCTGACTGGATGATCTGGTGAACTGTTGTGAATTAGGGCTAAATAAATAATCTAAATTTTAATTAAATTGAATTATGGGTCTGCTGGACGTAAGCAGCAACATTTATTTGGTCGACAGTGAGCGTTTGAAGAGAATGTGATGAGTGAAACTCAGTTCCAAAATAATTCCATTTGTAAAACTTAAACTAAAGAAAGATTTATTTAAAAAAGAGAGATATATAAAATGTTTGTTTAAAAGAATTAAATAAAGTTGGAAAACAAAATCTGCAAAATATTTTTGAAAAAACTAAACTCTTAAAAAAATGATCAGAGATTGCAGCAAAGTTACACAGAATTTTTTTATTCATTTTTTAATTAAAACGTTTCTAAAAGTTTAATTTTGGATTTGTTGTATTTTTTTTCCATTTCAATTTACAAAGCTTCTTATTTGATAGGAACAATAATGAAGCAACATTCCCTCACTAAAGGCATGGCTGCTGATTGCACTAATGAACCAATGAATTTGTATATGAAAAAAAACTCTGATCGTGTTTTTTTTCATAAAGATGTTATTTTAGTATTAAGTGATTCTAATCTACCACAGCACTGCAAAAACAATCTAGGACTAAGTTTAAAAATATTAAATTATGTGTTTTACCCTTGATTAGAGCAGGTAAATATGATGATCTGCCAATGGAATGAGCACATATACACTTAAAATAAGATAATGCTATTTTATTTTCTTATTTTAAATGTAAATTGTCTTGTTCCATTGGCAAAGTGTCTCACTTACCTCCTCAACTAAAAATTTATTTATTTTAAGAAAAAATGACTTATTTAGCTTTAGGTTTTTTACAGTGTGGGTTAGAGCCTCTCATTGGAGGAACTCACCAGTGATGCGAAGGTGAACTTTTGGTCTTTCTCCTGGAGGAAAACTAAGATGTCTGACATCAGCAGGACCTGCACATCTGGAGAGAAAAACAGCCAATGCTGTAAGCGGCTCCGTCTACAAAGATGTTCCATCAGGACAGGAAGAAGCATCATCCTGTGATACCTTTCATCCGGGAGCCCTGAACCTTCCAGGTGAGCGTCCCCTCATGGAGTAGCTTCCTCCTCAGCAGCTCCCCTCCCCTGAAGGCTCCGCCTCCCTTCACCTCAGCCTGGGCTCGCGGGTCCAAACGAGCCTGGATCTCCTGCAGCCTCCGGTTCCGGTCCAGTTCTAGGACCTCCTGGTCCACTGAGCCGATCAGTTCCTTCAGGAGGGTCAAGGCTTTCTCCAGGTTCTGCAGCTCCTCAGGGCAACCTGCAAATTACAGCGGAGTCACAGTGAGCTGCCAGCCGTTTCTAACAGAGAGCTGAGACGGAGGCGGTCTGGTACCTTTAGTGTTGTCCAGGATTCTCTGGATCAGAACCGGGTATTTTGTGAGCCGCTGGGTCACCAGCAGGATGCACTCCTGGACGCCATGACGACGCAGCAGAGGACCGCGACAAACCCGCTGTCAGAGAGAGAGAAAGAAAAAGGCTTTCGGCTTCTTATCGCCCAGAACCCAGTGACCGAAACCAGTTTAAAGTGTTTTAAATTAGATTAAAGTCGGGGTAAACTGGAACCAAACCAGTTAAGGCTCTCACCCGTATGAACTGCTGCAGCCTCCGGTCTCGATTTAAAACTTCTTTGTAGAGTTTTACGGCTTTAGGATGGCGGCTGCAGAACTCGGAGTAAAGTTTCTTCATGTCTTCTGCGCACTGACCTGAAAACTGCACAAAAAACATCAGGTCAGGAAAAAAGAAAGGATCCATCCCCACTGGGAGAGGGTCTAAAGTCTCACCCACGGTCTCCACTCCTTTACAAAAAAAGAAAAGGTTTCAGGTGGAAAACCTGTTTGCTTTAAACAACTGTTGCTCTTTCTCTGACTTTATTATAAATATTTATCTAAGCTTAAAGTTCTTTACTCTCCTGATGCCAAAAGACAGAAACTTGTGAACTGGACACAAAGAAGTATTTCAGTAAATTGGACAATAGAAACGGATCGGCTTGCAGACTGTTCTGTTTGTCTTTGTTCTTCCGTGTCCCTGAGGACGTTTCTGTGATCCGTCTGGCAGAGTAACTCCGGTTTGTTTTCTTTGTGCCAAGAAGAAGAAGAGGAGCATCTCAGCTTTCTCTATAAAACTCTGTGTTTATGTGAGAAACTTTGCTTGAAATTATAAGGGGATTTATTTAAATGAAATGGAGGAAGGAAGGAAGGAAGGAAGGAAGGAAGGAAGGAAGGAAGGAAGGAAGGAAGGAAGGAAGGAAGGAAGGAAGGAAGGAAGGAAGGAAGGAAGGAAGGAAGGAAGGAAGGAAGGAAGGAAGGAAGGAAGGAAGGAAGGATAATGACAGAACAACATAACATGGCGGAATTCTACTTCTACGCTTGCAGAAACAGAAAAAGTGAGAAAATCAAACGAAAAATAATTGTGATAAACAACGAATGCACCTTTAACGACAACACAACTAGAAAGTAATCAATAATACTTATTCATGAAGTATTTCATAGTGATTGCAGCGGTATATAGACTATATCTGTGCAGCTTCATCCAAGCCCCTTGGCGGATGCAAAGCTTGTTTCTAAAAGATTTCTCCATACGGATGTTCAATCGCAGGTGTGAGGAGCCACAGACCTGCCCCACTGAGGCTAACTCTCTGCTAGGGGTGGAACGGTTCACAAAATCCACGGTTCGGTTCGATTCACGGTTTCGTGGTCACGGTTTTTGGTTCGATTCGGTATTTGTTGATTGTTACACCGAAATCCCATAAAAATGTATGAAATTAATGAAAAAAATCCCCCCAAAAATAATGAATTGTAATTATTTTAAATGATCCGCGGAAACCCTGGATCATTTCCGTATGTTTTGCTGTTTTGAATTTAATCATCTGGCGCATGCTCTCTACCATCTCCAAGGGACTCAGAGGTGAGCGGACGGGAGCCACAGTGGAGGCTGTAGGCTTTGCTTTGAGCAGCCGGTCTGGAGCGCAGCGGGGCGGAGCGCTGACGGAGTATGTGGGATTTCGGGGTTAGCCTGACATGTTGGTCATGTTGCTGTTAGCATAAACAAAAGGTGTTGCACAATGCTTGCACACTGTTGCACTTTTATCCACGACTTTCTTTCCGCCGTCATTGTAGGTCACTCTAAATGCAAAGTGGTCCCATACAGCAGACCTATAAAGTGCTGCTGGCGCGTCTTCCAACTCCTGTTCTTTCCCACTCGCCATACCCACACAATTCTCCACAACAACTGATTTTTTCCCTGCTACACCCGGCTACGCTGCTTCACTTCTTCTTCTTCTTGTTTACTACTGGTGGTTGGCTTTGGTCGCAGTACCGCCACCTTCTGCTCTGGAGTGTAAACGCTTCGCCTATGAGAAAAAGGAGCAGCGCATGAACCGAACGAAACACACGAGAACCGAACCGAGACAGTCGAACCGAACGGTTCGGACGGTTTTCATAAATCGTCCCATCCCTACTCTCTGCTCTTGGTCTCAATCACACTTTAAAGACTCCGGCACTCCTGGCTTCTGCTCAGCTTACTATCGGCCGTACCTGTCGCAGCAGCAGGTCTCCCAGCCGGCGGACGGTGAAGTTGTTGGAGCTTCCCTCCATCAGCCCCTCCTTCCTCCGGTCCAGCAGCTGTGACAGGAAGCTGGAGTGGAACTCCAGCAGCTGGTCCAGACAGGGAAAGATGGTGTGGACCACGCCCGCTTCCAGCATCACTTCCTCCTGCATCCCTCTGCGGTAAACTCCCTCCATGATCCTCAATGTCCGTACATGATGGAACTCGGTCTGGATGAGCTCTGAAGCAGAGAGAGGTGGAGACAAAGGTAGACGGTTAGAGACAGATGGAGACAAACGAAGGCAGGTTGAGACAAAGGAAGATGGGTGGAGACCTGCAAACCCGTACCGTAAATGACATCCTGCTGCTTGATGGTGTCTTTATGAAGCGTCTGCAAGAACTTAGAGTCCACCGCCAGACTCCAGCTGTCGGCCGAAATGCAGCAGCCCTCCTTCTGCAGCTCCTCCAGCAGGGGGTTCCACCACCAATCCGCTGCAGCATCAAGAACACAGTCAGCTGATACCAGCACACAGCGCCCCCTGCTCCTGGCAGGAGTCGCCTCGGTAACCGAAGGCTCTCCAGTAAGCAGCTGATAAATGCACCTTCATCTGTGAGAGACTCCATGGATAATGTTCTGTTGCGGAAGTTCAGAGACTCTGTGGACTGAGACAGAATCCTCCGGAGACCCACAACTTCCTCCGTCCCCCTGTGAAGCAGAGACACAAACAGATGAAAGTCCACTAGGCGCTGTGAATGGCAGAGGGGCGGAGCTAACCCGTGTGCCGATCTCACTAGAGATGAGTAGGGGGAAAGAGTTGGTGGTGGAACAGCAGTTCTTTTTTAGTGCATTGAATCACTGGAATCAGTTCACTAAAAAATTCCGTTCACCCAATCAGTTCCTACAGCTACATTTCTTTCTCCTTTACATTTAAAATAGGCAAGAAGCATCGCCATATCGGTATTTAGTTAATCATAAAAACATCATTATATAACATCAACTGATTTTTTTGTCTCTATGGACTTTTCAGGCTCTCTACTTTCCTTAATTTGAAGTTCTACCAACTGGAAGTCAGTCGCCTTACTTAGATGGTGAAGAGAACGCAGATTCAAAATATGACTTTTGGATCAAAGATGGAGCACTTAATCAAAACTTATTTCCTGATTCTAAAAAAGTTATGAAAATCTATGAAAATGAACACATGAAAGTTAAGACATTGCTTTTCAACCAAGCTTCGGCAGAATTATTTCAAAGTTAAACTTATGAAACAGGTCTGGACAAAACTGATTGGTTCCCTAGAAAAGACTGATAATAATGTGACCAAAGGGAGAAGTTGGATCAGGGTGTATCCACCAATTAACGTCACAGGTGTCTACAATCTGGTAACAAGTCTGTGGGCCTTTAAATACGTCTACAGTTAGTCACTGCGCTGTTTGGTGACATGGTGCGTACCACACTCAACATGGACCGGAGGAAGAGAAGGAAACATTTTTCTCAAGAATTAAGACAGAGATTAATAGAGCAGCATGTTAAAGCTAAAGACTATCAGACCATTTCCAAGCAGCTTGGCGTTCCTGTGACTCCAGCTGAACATATTACTCAGGAATTTAGGACCCATGGACTGTAGCCAACCTCTCAGGAAGGTTAGTAGTAATGGAAACAAAAGAGTCCAGAAAACAGAGATTAAAGTTGAACTTCAAGCTGAAAGAGATCACAGCATCCGTCTTTGTTTGAGCAAAAACCGTCTTATTGGGAGACGACTATGATGGAACCATTGATGGAAAGAGAAATCATAGAAACGCTGGACTAGAATTAATCAAACTACCGTAATTTTCGGACTATAAGCCGCAGAAGCTAAATTGCATGATTCGTACATATACAAGCAGCACCGGACTATAAGCCGCAGGTTTTTTATGTTTAATTACAATATGGTTCGTGCACAGAGAGGATTGTCGGGAAAGAGGCAACTGTTTGGGGAAGCTCCTATTTATTAACATTTCAACACAATTGAATTGAGACTATTCTTCCTGCTGGCGTCTCCAACGTCTCACCATTGACTTGTTGATTCCGAGGTTACGTGCAGCGGTTCCATTTCCTTCATTTACTGCCAAATTGACTGCCTTTAACTTAAAAGCTGCATCATATGCATTTCAATGTTTGTTTTCCATAATGAGGGTGTCACACAAACTGTCTTGCGCTCGCAATTTCTTAGAGACGTCGACCTATATATGCGGCATATATAACAATGCAGCTTATCTATGGACTTTTACAGCTAACGGCCACTAGGGTAATACCTAAATCTATGGATTTTACCATCCACCATGTTGACGTCACATTTGCTTCAACACACAAGTACGGTAGCCGCGCGCGGGGGAATGTGGAGGTCCTCTGGAAGCAGACTTTTACAGCGAGTGGTACCAGACAGAACGACAGCGAGAAAGACGGATATTAAACATAAAAAAACCTGCGGCTTATAGTCCGGTGCGGCTTGTGTACAGTAGGTAGAAATCATGCAATTTAGCTTCTGCGGCTTATATTCACGTGTGGCTAATAGTCCGAAAATTACGGTAATACAAAGTAAATCCAGTACAACTTTTTATTGCCTACCTGGAATGGTTGACAATAGTGGAATAAACTTTTGGCTCTCAAAATGGTATCGGTGCCCTATTTGTCGGTACTCGCCGATACGATACCACTATTTTAGTGCTGGATCGGGGCCCCGCCTGATACTGGTATCAGTGCAACACTAGTTATCAGTGACATGTTATCACATTTATTTATAAAATCAACAAAGCTGATCAAAAGCTTCTTCACAGATTAAAAATACAACAAGTTCTAATTTTGATTAATGCCAGAAATAAAAAATCAAAAACTCAGGAAAAGTGAGGCTTCATGAGTTTCGTATGGAAGCGAATCGTTACCATAGTTTAAATGAAAAAGCATTTCCAGAAATGCTTTTTCATTTTAAGAATGTGGCTGCATTATTTGACTCATAAATGAAATTAGTAATCAATCATCCTATTTGCATTTTCTTCTTTAAGACTGCACATTTTATGCCATAATCAAAGAGAAAACACAGCGGACATTGCTTTCTCGTTTTCAAGCATTTCTGGAAATGCTTTTTCATTTTCAAATTTTACATCTGAAATTGAATTTTGGTATGTATTTGCTTATTATTGATTTATTTTGAAAAATAAATCTCAAATGTCTTTTTCTTTTTCATTTTAATTAAGTAAAAGGATGAGCAGTCTTGACAAAGTAAATGCAAATGCAAATAGGATGATTGATTACTAATTTTATTAATGAGACGAATAATGCAGCCACATTCGTAAAATGAAAAGCATTTCCAGGAATTTTCAAATTTTCCATTTCAAATTGAATTTTGGTATGTATTTGCTGGGGTACATTTTGAAAAATAAATCTCAAATGTCTTTTCTTAAAACGAAAAAGCATTTCTGGAAATGCTTTTTCATTTGAAATATGATAACGATTCACTTCCATAGTTTAGGGAACTATATTGCTGATTATCCTGCGACGTCACACAGGAGTGGTCTACAGCAGGTAGACCAGGGTAAGGTATTTTTGTTTGGGCATAAGAGGGTCATTATAAATTTGTATTCACTTTCTGAAGAAGAAAAATTATATTGTGAGGTCTGATTCATTGGATCAGAGGCTGTTAAGTAATAATCAGAATCATTGCTGGAAGGAAGTAAAACAGCAGAAGAGCCAGTCGCCCCATCGCTGAACTGTAGAGACAGTTTCAGGGTCAGCCAGTATCTAACAAAAGGTTACGTGCATAATGGAGACATTGTTGAATATGATAGCTCAATGATATTGTGGTGCATGAGTCGTATCAAGCTATACACATGGGGGCCGATAAGATGTGGGCGGTTAGACGGTATTACAGCAGAACACCTTCCATTTGCTGGAGCCTCTCTTACCTGGGAGGTTACTACAGCAGGTTGGGAGGGCAGCTCTTTCAAGCATCATATATGAAATAAAAGAAATGCTCTTAATATTCAAGATAAATGCTGTTAAAGATTCACTTTCTATATTAAAAACACATTAAAACTACTTTTTACCCGCTGATCACAGCAAATATAGCAAAGCCGTTCTCTGCCTTCAAACACATGAGCAGCAGAAGCATCAGGACACACTTAACTGGACGTCTGACCTTAATGTGGACAAGCATCAAAAACGAAGCAGCAGAAGCGTTTTTGCCGCTGAAATGGCGTGCGGTCTGAACGTAGCATAAGTCTGGAGGTTGCTTGCAGTGATCTATAGTGACTAGATCCATAGAGACTGAGATGGGGAGTGGAGGTGAGATGTTTGACAGGAGTCAGCGTCTGCAGGCTGGACTTAAGAACCTCAAGAATAACTTTATCTGCCCTTTACATGAATCTGAAAATAAATTCAAGAAGACCTGAGCGAACGGACAGCTGAGCTCTACATGATGCCATTTTCAGTTGTGGGCTGCAGTCGCTCTCTCTTATAAATTTTTCTGTAATCGCCTTTGATGTTTGCAGAGATGTTGCACACACAGCCTGGTTCTGCTGGAGGTTTCTACCTGTTAAAAGAGAGTCTTTTCTCTCCACTGTCGCTACAAGCATGAGTTGATGCAATCATCTGGTTTTTCTTAGAAAAAAAACTTTGAATCAATCTGACTGGATGATCTGGTGAACTGGAAAGTACCCTGAGATGACATGATGTGAATTGCTGCTATAGAAATAAACTTTAAACTGAATATGTATTTATGTCGATCTGTTGTTTTATATCCTGTGTGGTTTGGTGGGTTTATTATATTTTAGCTGGACCCTCAGACTAAAATAAAGTTTCTATGAACTATTAACATGTTTTGGTACATAAATAAATTAGTTATGACACAAGACATGATTGTTGCCATGGCTACTGTAGTCAGCGACATTATGAGCTCATATATTTGTTTAAAGGATTTATGAAAACGACAACATTCGAGAGTATTTAATATTTATAGTAAATATCTATCAGTATTTATTATGAATTAGGAGGAATGGAACTGGTGATGTGGGGTAAACAACATTCAACCATAAAATTCAAACACTTGAATGCGACCAGGCAGGAAACTGAACAATGGAGGAGCTGCAGACGTTCACTGCTGGAGTCCAAACATCCTCGCACACATTAAAGGCGTCAGACTCCAGAAAGAGACACCGCTTGGATTTTTCAGCTTATGAAACTCGGTTTTAGACTGAAATTCTAGCATTTAATATTCCACTCTGGCTAGAGGTCTGCGCCGCAGAAGGTGGAAGCTGTTAGTGGGCGGCCATGTTAGCCGCTAACAGTTGGGATCATGTGGACGTATTAATTGTTACCAGCTGTCGGCTGGATTCTGCCTCTCTCTCAGTGTCTGATTAGAATCCCAGAAACTAGAGCTGTGGATGTTCCATAAGGTCCCTAAATTTGCTTTGTCAAGCTTCCCTGTATGACCTGTAGCCAATCACTTCCTGTTTGTTACTCACCCTGCGATGTTATTGGTGGAAACACTTTTGGCAAGAGTAAGGCCGGACCGAACCCGCCTGGATCCTAGCAGGGACTGGCGCAGAGTGTCTGAGGGATAAATGGCTGAGCTTGGACGTTCCTTCATCATTGGAGCTGAGGATGAGAAGAAGGGACAACGGTGTGGGACGTCCAGAGGTGGAGAGACAGACAGAGACAAGGACAGAAAAAGGGGGACTTACTTTTGGTCCGCAGGGCGACATTCTGTAGAGCTGAATTATTCCTGACCAGAGTCAGCTTCTGTTGCTGTGAGACAAACACAGGAGACAGTTTGGGCAGACCCGAAAAGGGGAAAAAACAGGACAGTCAAGTCAGGGCGGGCGGGGAACAAAAGAGACAAATCGGGGCAGACAGCCGGGTAAAAACGGACAGTCCCGGTTTAAAACAGGCGGGTAAAAAAACGAGGGGGGTCGGTCAGGGGCAGGACGGGGGAACAAAAAGAGAAGTCGGTTTAGACAGAGGGTAACAACAGGGGGGAAAAGTTTTGGTCAGACGAAGGGGTTAAAAAAAAGAGCCCGTTTGGTCAGACAAAAACAGGACAGGGACGGGTAACAACCAGAGACAGGGCGGTTCAGACGGACGGGGTAACAAAGGGGCCCGTCGGGTTTGGGAAATCCGGGTAAAAAAAACGAGGACAGTCGGTTTAGAAGGGCAGGTAACAAAAGAGGGCAGGTTTTGGTCAGGGGCAGTGGGGGGTAACAAAGGGGGAGAGTTTGGTCAGGGCAGGGCGGGGTAACAAAAGGACGGTTCCGGGGTTGACAAAACGGGGTTTTAAAAAAAAGGAAAAGTCTTCAGACAGGCCGGGTTTTAAAAACAGAGACGGTTCCGGGAGGGGCAGAGGGGTTTAAAAAACGAGACAGTGGGGCAGACAGACAGACCAACGGGGGGAAAAAACAGAGGGCCGTCGGTCGCGACGGGTTACAATTGAAAACAGGGGCGGGCAGACAGACGGGGGAACAACAGGAGGGAAATTTGGTCAGAAAAGCGGGGAAAGACGGGGACGGGCGGTTCAGACAGGGGGCAAAGGGAAAACGAGACGTTTGGCAGGGCAGAGGGGGGAACAAAAGAACAGTCGGTTTAGACAGACGGGGTTTAAAACAGGAACAGTCAATTTTGAAGAAGGGTGGGCAATTGAGACGGGTTTTGGGTTTCCCCCCAGGAACAATTTAAAAACAGTCGGTCGACAGAGGGTAACAACGAGTAGGCGGGGCAAAAAAGGCGGGTAACGACCCGAGACAGTTTGGTTTAGACAGCAGGTAAAAACAGGCAGTCGGGCGGAAAAACAGGGAACAACAGAGACAGTCCGGGCAGAAAAGACGGTTTAAAAACGAGACCCGACGGTCGCAGAGAAAAAAGGGAAAGAAAAAGAGGGCAGTCGGTAGACAGACAGGTAAAAAAAAGAGACGGTCGGTCTGACAGACAAACGGGTAACAACAGAGGACAGTCCCGGTTTAAAAATGCCGGGGGAACGAAAAGAAGGGCAGTCGGGTCAGACAGAAAGGGGGAAACGAGGAGGGCCCGGGCAAAAAAAAGAAGGGTAACAACAGAGACGGTCGGTCAGACAGAGGAAAACCAAAAAGGGACCCGTCGGTCAGACAGACGGGTTTAAAAACAGAGACAGGGCGGTCAGACAAAAAACGGGGTAACAACAGAGACGGGGGGTGGTAGACAGAGGGGTAACAAAAAGAGACAGTTTGGGAGACGCGGGTAACAGGGAGAGACAATTTGGGTCAAAACAGACGGATAAAAAATAGAGGGCAGGCGGTTAGACAGAAAAGGTTTAAAAATAAAAGACGGGGGTCTGCACCCGGGGGAACAAAAAGAGGACCCGTCGGGAGACGGACGGGTAACGACAGAGACAGAGGTAAAAACAGAAGGTAACAACAGGGGGAAGGACGGGGCAGACAGGGGGGGTAGAACAGGGGACAAATCGGTCAGGGGCAGAGGGGTTAACAACCGAGACCGGTGAGACAGACGGGGGAACAAAAAGAGGGCGGGGGGGGTCTGACCCGGAAAAGGGAAAAAATAAGGGGACCGTCGGGGCAGGAAAAAAGGGTAACAACGAGGGCGTCTTGGGCAGGGCAGGGGGGTAGCAACAGAGACAGTCGGTCAGAAAAGGCCCGGTTTAACCCAATAGAGACAGACGAAAAGACAAAGGGGGGGTTAAAAACAGGGCAGCTCGGTCAGGGCAGGGGTAAAAACAAGGGGACAGGGAAAAAGGGTTTAAAAACCGAGGGCAGTCGGTCAGGGCCAAAAACGGTTTAACAAAAGAGACAGGTCGGTCAGACAGGAAAGGGGAACCAAAAGAGACAGTCGGTCAGACATAACCGGGTAACAAAAAGAGGCAGTCAGTCAGGGCAGACAAAGGGAACAACAGAGGGCAGTCAGTCGACAGACGGGTAAAAACAGAGGGCAGTCGATCAGGAGGGGAAAAGGGAAAACAGAGGGCAGTCGGCCAGGGCAGAAAGGGTAACAACGAGACGTCGGCGCCGGGACAGGTTTAAAAAACAAAAGACAGTTCAGTCAGACAGACGGTGAAAACAGAGACCCCGTCGATTTAAGGGAAGACAGGAAACAACAGAGACCCGTTGGCCCGAAAAGACAGGTAACAAAGGACAGTGGTAAGAAAGACGGGTAACAACAGAGGGCAAGGGCGATTTAGACAGACAGGTTAAAAAAGAGGACAGCGGTCAGACAGACAAAGGTTAAAAACAAAAGCAGCGGTCAGCAGAAAGGGTAAAACAGAGGGCAGTCGGTAAGACAAAACGGGGGGAACACAGAGACAGTTTGGTCAGACAAAAAGGGGTAAACAACAGAGCAGTCAGTTTAGAGCAGAGGTAAAAAACCCGAAACAGTCAGTCAGACGAAGGGTTTCAAACCGAGGGCAGTGTTCAGACAGGGCAGGTAAAACCAGGGACAATCGGTCAAAACAAAAAACGGTTTTTAAAAAACAGAGGGCGTTGGTCAGGGCCCGACAGGCAGGAACGGGTAACAAAAAGGACCAGTCGGTGAACAGAGGGTTTTCAAAATTTAGACCGGGCGGGGAGACAGCCAAAGGGAACAACAGGGCAGTCGGTCAGACCCGGGGGGGGTAAGACCCGAGACAGTCGGCAGGGGAGACGGTAAAAAACCAGGGACAGTCGGGTTCAGACGGGCGGGGGAAACAAAAAAAGGAGACCCCGTCGGTCAGACAGGACGGGTAAAAAACCGAGAAAGTCAAATTTGACGACGGGTGACAATAATTTTAGGGGGGTGGTCGAACCCCCCAGGTAAAACCAAAAAAGAGGGGCCGGCCGGGCAGACAGAGGGTTCGCAGAGACCCGTCGGTCGGCCCGAAACGGTTAACTACAGAGACAGCGGTTTGCGACAGGGAAAAACCCGAGACAGGGCGGTTTAGACAGAAAGGTTAAAAAACAGAGGGAAAGCGGGTTGCAAAGGAAGAAAAGCCACGAGGGGGGTAACGACAGAGAAAAAGTCGGTCAGGGCAGACAGGGTTTAAAAAACAGAGACCCGTTTGGATGACAGACAGGTAAAAAACAGGGGGGACAGTCCGGTTCAAAGGGCAGAGGGTAACGACAGAGAAAAAGGGCGGGTCAGACAGACAAAGGGAACAACAGGGAAAAAAGACGGTCAGACAGACGGGTAACAACAGAGACAGTCGGTTTAGGCAGGCGGTTTAAAAAACAGGGGACGTCGGGCAGACCGACGGATAACAAACAGAGACGACGGTCAGGAAAAAACGGGGTTTTAACCCAAAAGAGACGGGTGGGAGACAAGGGGGGGGTAACAAAAAGAAGGGGCAGTTTGGTTCCAAGGGGCCCGAGGGGGAACAGCAGAGACAATCGGTTTAAAAAAGAGGGAACAATTTGAGCGTCGGTTAGAAAAGACAGGGGAAAAATAGAGAAGGGTGGGTTCTGAAAAACCCCGGGGTAAAAATAGAGGAAAGTTCCCGGGCAGACAGAGGGGGAACGGGCCAAAAGACAGACGGGGAGACAGGAAGGGGGAACAATTTGAGAAAAAGGGGGGGTCTGACAGAAAAGGGGAAAAATAGAGCAGTCGGGCAGACAGGGGGGCGGGGAAAAAACAAGGGGCCCGTCTGTCAAAACGGACGGGGGGAAAAACAGAGGGCGTCCCGGTCAAAACAGAAGGGTAAACAAAAAGAGAAAGTTCCCGGGCAGAAGAGGGTAAAAAAAAGAGACAGACAGATGGGGTAAAAACAGAAAAACAGGGGGTCAGACAGGGCGGTTAAAAAACGAGACAGTCGGTCAGGGGCAGGTCGGGTAACAAGACCCCGGGACAGTGGGCAGACAAAAAGGGGGAACCAAAAAGAGACAGTCCCGTCAGACAGAAGGGTAACAACAGGACAGGGCAGTCCCGGACCAAAACCCGGGAACCAAAAGAGGGCAGGTCGGATCGGGGAGGACAGGTAAAAAAAAGAGACAGTCGGCCAGCGCGGGGTAACAAAAGAGGGCAGTCGGCCAGACGGGCAGGTAAAAACAGAGACAGTCAGGGCAGGGGGAAAACGGTAAACAAAAAGAGACGGGCGTAGGACAGACAAAGGGAACAAAAAGAGAAAAAGTTTGGGCCAGAAGGGCAGGTTTAAAAACGGGGACAGTCCCGGGCAAGGGCAGGCCCCGGGGGAACAACAGAGACATCGCAGACAGACCGGGGTTAAAAACAGAGACAGTCGGGTTTAGCAAAAAGGTTTTAAAAAACAGGGGACCGGGGGTAAGGGGCAGACGGGTTTAAAAAAAGAGACGGTCGACAAAGGGGGGTTTAAAACAGAGACAGTCCCGGGCAGACAGCGGTTTAAAAAAAAAGAGACAGCGGTCCCGAAGGACGGGTAACCCAAAAGAGACAGGCAGTCAGGGGGGGGGGCGGGGCGGTTAACAACAGAGACAGTCGGGGTTTAGGAAGGCGGGTTAAACAACAGAGACTGTCGGTAAGAAAGAAGGGGTAACTACAAGACAGTCGGTTAAGGGCAAAAACGGGTAACAACCAAAAGAAGCCGGGGGCAAAACCGACAGGGTTAAAACAGAGCAGTCGGTCCGACAGACCGGGGTAACAAAGAACAGCGGGCAGACAGACGGGTAACCCAAAAAGATTCGAAACAGAAGAAAAGGTTAAAAAAGAGGGCAGTTTGGTCAGACAGAGGGGTAACAAAAGAGACAAAATCGGGTTTAGACCCGGGGGGTTGGAACAAACCAAGGGGGGAAAAGGGCGGTAGACCCGACGGGTAAACAACA